CAGCTGACCCAGGCCTACGATATGGTCAAGTGGCCACTGGACTATTTCCTCAAGGCCTGGAACCCAACAGCTCACGAGTTTGTCTTCCAGGTGGGCGACGAGACTGCTGACCACAACTTTTGGGGACGTCCAGAGGACATGACCATGGCGAGACCTTGCAAGAAGGCGAGCATAGCACATCCGGTACGTTCTGGAATTTTTGATAACTTCCGAATCAAATGATACATTCTTGAAAATATGACGTGAAAAGTTTTGAATGTTTGAAAAGTTCGTGATCAGGTATCGAAAAGATGGAACAAATAAGTGAGCTTTGGTATTCTTGAACTTTTCATAAGCTCTGGAACTTTTGATGTCTTGAAAACATTTGATCTGTTCGAAATGCTGGATATGTTTTGGAGCATTAAAACTTGTTTTTAGGCAAATGAGGGCAACTAAATTAAATCGTGGAGCAATAGCTAAGTTGAAAATCCTTTGATAAAATTGGGAACATTCATTATGGTCCGTATCACAAACAAACTCAGATAAGCTATGGAATATGTCCAAAACATTGGTAAAATTATAGTAAACATATTTCTCTGTTCTTTGCAGGGAAGTGACGTAGCAGGGGGTACAGCTTCCGCCCTGGCTGTTGGGTCACTGGTGTTCAAGGGCAAGGGAGATACAGCCTACAGCACACAGCTGTTAACAGCCGCTGAGAGTTTGTACAAGTTTGCTAACGATTATAAGTAAGTGCGATAATCACCTTATTAGTATTTTTAAGAAACTATACACACAATAAAAAGGAAAAGCTAAAATTAAAATAATTTTGTATAGAATTAAAATAAATTAAAATATGACAGGAATTAAAGAGTATTAAATTAGTTAAAAAAATACTAAGTAATCTTACCATGTTAACGATGTATAGTGATAATAATCACTGTTCTTACATAGATGGTATTCTTGACGAGGGCTTTGTATCATAATTATAATCTAGTGACATTTTTCACTGTTTCTATCTAGGGGATTGTACCAGAGCAACGCGTACGGGTCGACTAACTACAAGGACGAACTCTGTGAGGCTGGGGTCTGGCTTTACAGGGCCACGGGGAGAGCCCAGTACCTGAACGAGGCCAAGGCCAACGCTGAATCTGGTTACATCTGGGCCTATCAGCTAGAGGATAAAAGGCGTGAGTATAATGGGGTCGGTATAGGGGTACTAAGTGGGGTCAGTACACTGTCCAAAGTGGTGTTGTGAGACAGTGTCCAAAATATGATTAGTAGACAGTTTCCAAAGTGGGGTCAGTAAACTTTCCACGCTACGATCAGTAGACCGTGACCTAGCTTGTATCAGTAGATGCTATAAAAAATTGGGTTGGGAGAAGATATACAATTTGGGTCAGTAGATGTGGTGTCCCTAAAAAGCCTTTTAGTACATTGTTTCCTTAAAATCTTTCAAAATAGGGATCATAGAATGTATACCTTATCTAGAAGAATGATAACAAATATTACACATTATGTGACCCCACACATCACTTGACCCATTACATCATGTGACCCCACTCATTATGAGATCCCACACTTTGATTGATCGCCATACATCATGTGAACAAAAGCTGTATTGTAATATATCCATACTTTACACACACATTTAACTCACACGTTATCCACACTTTAACCACACATTAACCACATTTTACCTAAACTTTATCCACACATATAAACACTTTATCCAATCTTTACCCAAACTTTATCCACATTTTACCAACATTTAATCCACACTTTATCCATCAGTCGCGTGTCACCAACTGTTATATGAAGAGACCCACGATACCGCCCAGAGAAATGCTGTAATCGATTACTTCAACAACTGGCTCCCCGGGGGTGGCACCAAGTACACACCCTGTGGCCTGGCCTGGGCTATGAAGTGGGGCTCTCTCAGGTAGGTTTAAAAATAGAACCCCCAACACACAGCAGATTGTCCAGACATAGCACGATTTAAACATATTTCACATTCTAAGAACGTAAAATCTTTAAAATGTAAAGCAAAATATAACATTTTATACGAGTAATCACATTTCAAACACATTTCAAACTCAAGCAAAATCATAGTATGTTTAGATTTTGTATAAACATATCACCATAAACATTTAACAATTTATTTATTAGTCGCTCAAATACATCATTAGACAGACTATGATTTCGTAAGTTATAGATAATGTTCTATTCATAATGTAAAATGTAAACGATTTAAAGTAAAATTTTATTTTCGTTAACATGGAAGTCAGCTTGTGACTTAGATCATATTTTATCTTAGGCCATCATATGAATGAGCTAATGCTGTAAGTTAAGTCATATTGCGACTGAGGTCGTCTAATGACTAACTCATCTGCTTTTCTGTCGTCGTTTTCGAACTTTTAGAATGGCCGCCAACTCCGCCTTCATTGCCCTGTTAGCCGCCGAGGCTGGTATCCAAACAGACCGGTACCGCACCTGGGCAGTCGAGCAGATCAACTACATCTTGGGCGACAACCCTCATGACGGCGGTTGCTTTAGTTACCAGATTGGTTACGGCAGCAAGTACCCCCCTCCGTCCCCACCATCGGGCCGCCTCCTGTCCGAACAAGCCCGCGCCCTGTGGGTCTGCCGATGCGACTTCACCAGCCCCCAACCCCCATGTTTTGACGGGTGCTCTAGTAGGTGGCCCCGCAGAGCATGACGTCAGAACCGACTACGTGCTAAACGAGGTGGCCATAGATTACAATTCGGGGTTCACTGGAGCCTTGGCTGGAATTGTTCACTTACAGAACACAAACCACATGCCCACCACACACAACAAATGTCCCTGTAACAACTAGACTACACACACAACAAATGTCCCTGTAACAGCTAGACTACACACACAACTAATGTTAATATAAAAACTTGACCACACAGACAAATATAGTCGGTGCAGCAAATACATCACACGCTCACTAATGCACAAACACACGCAAACCACATGCCCACCAAATACACAACAAATGTCCATGTAAACACCTAAATTACTTAATTGATGGGATTGTGAAATTAAAAATTATTGTTTAATGAGATTTAAATACAAATAGTCTTTACATAAACATTATTATCTTGTTTTTTGATTTCACACATTTCTGCTAAAAAGGATAGTCCTGAATAATACGAAGCTATTTACATTTATTGCAAGTATTCATTAAAGCTGAATAACTCAAAGTTATTTGAAAAAATAACCTATAGGTCTATTCCACTTGGTTTTTGTGATATCATGCATTTAGTAAGAGAGGGATGGTAATGTGGAGACAGGCCTTAAGTAGCCTGAAGTCCAGACAATGAAGAAAAAGAAAGCGGTTAAGTGTGTGTGGATCAAGGCGGTGTAGAAGACCAGAGCCCTAAATGGACCGTAGCACAGCATGGATGGTCGCCTGGGTGTGTTACATTACCAGATCACCACACCACTGAAAATTAAAATTGATCCGAATGGTTCTAGTGTTTGAATATCAAAACACTGAAAAAATTAAATGTTAAGTAATTAAGTATCACAGCGTATATACATCTTGACTTATACAATTGTCACAGTGTGTAGAGTTGTGAGTTTTTCTTTGAAAGGATAGACAGTAAACATCTGGTTCAATTCATAACTAAATATCATATTTAAATATCTATAGTTTGGAATGATACTTTGTATAAAAACATTAGGAAACACTTTGAATAAAACTGGATACACTGAAACACTCCTTGATTTATTCTCACAATCAATGAAAGTAGTTTCCACTTGTATTTATCTTAGGTGGCCTCTCAAACGGATACCAGAAAAATGGACTATCGGAAAACTGAGCAAAAACAGACACATGCGCAAATACAAATTCAATATACTAATACACGTTAATTTTGTCATATTTCGTGCAAATCTATATATATAATTCTCTTCTGGGAGCCGTTAGAAAACAAGCCGCAAGCGCCTCCTTGCAGTCCCCTCTCTTTCTAACGATCACTACCACCCCCACCCCACCCCCACATTGTCTGGTGAGCTGTGGTCACGCTAATGTTTACAAAGCTAAATGTTTACAAATCGTAGAGCCGTTGAGCCGGGTTTCTATTAGGGGCAGATAATTTAGTTCGATTTAAAACTTACAGGAGGTAACTAAGAAATAACTAAGAGGAGGCTGCTTTCACGGGGTTACGGGAAAGGGGGGGGGGTGGTGTTTTAAAGCAAATATTTTCAGTGGCAGCATTGGTACTGTCGAATTCACAAATTATGAATTACTGAAAAGTAGAAAATAAAACAACTAAATAGCGGCGTATGCTCGCCGCGGGTCGGCTCGTATGTTATATTATGCTACAGCGTAGTCAATCCTTGTTAATGTCGATAAATGATCGATTTTAGAAAACAAAAATGTGCCTGCGCACTTTTTTTCCGTTCTTATTTTTTTGGTCACCCTCCCGAATATCCCATTCCAGTCTGTGAGCGAGGCTAAAAAAAGTATGAAAATACTATGATTGATCGCTTAAGCATATCACTTCCAATGGGCAGATATTCACCTATCACACCCGATTCGATCTAAACACAATACAAAACATTACAGTCTATTATATTAAGACTTAAAATTATATACAAAATTAATTGCTTTCTTAACACAGAACCCAAGAATTGACAACAGCAAATGAAAAATATTGTTTTCTCTTCCATTATATACGTTTGTTTTTCTCTTGATAGTCACTCTAACTTAATTACTCAACATAAGACACATTATTTCTGTATCAGGATATCCCCTCACATCATAGGTAATCACCGACACAATTATTCTGAAGCGGCCAGCAACGACTTGCACTAAGGGTCAGTACATGGTGCACGACTAAAACAACTCGTGCAAATAAAGTGATGGTACATCCTTGAACTTGACTGACATGAAAGTTGCTATAATTAGGGTTTTAGATCGCCAGATAAGGAGAAGTCAAGTGTCTCAGGCAGGTATAAAGGTAGGACTCAGTGCTTATGTTTTGATAGTTTAACGAGTAAAGACACGTTTTTAAAAATTCGTTTTACGTACCTTATGCAGGTTTAAAGGTACAGCTTTATGATGACTTTACGAAAGTTTTATAGGTTGAGTCTGAGAGTTTTTTCGTGTTTCGGTAAAATTTGTAGGTAAAGTTTGTAGGTAAATTTTGTAGGTAAAGTTTGAAGGTAAAGGCTGAGAATTATTTCGTCTGCTGGTAATGTTTACATCCTAGGATAAGTTTACGTCATGTTGATCTAGATGTTGATCCAAATGTTGATCCAAATGTTGATCTAGAAGTTGATCTAAATGTTAATCCAAATGTTGATCTAGAAGTTGATCCAAATGTTGATCCAAATGGTGATTCAAATGTTGATCTAGATGTTGATCCAAATGTTGATCCAAATGTTGATCTAGAACTTGATCCAAATGTTGATCCAAATGTTGATCTACATGTTAAATGTAAGCGTGCTGTCAAGGTTAGGTTTACAGTTGTAAACCGAACATTACGCAGTTAACGTTCATAAGTCCTATTTTGATTGTTTTTGTTTTTCAGATAGAAATAGTTCTTCCACTATGGCGTCATGGTTCATGCTTTGCCTGGTGCTGCCCATGCTTGTGACGCAGACTGAGTCAGTCAAGAACTACGCGTCAGCTTTGGGAAAATCTATTCTGTTCTACGCCGCACAAAGGTAAATTGAAATTAAAATGTTATTTTAAATATTTTTATCACAATATTTTAAAGTGCCGAAGTAGTCTATTAGCTGGATGTCACAAACAAATATCGATGTTTGCCGAACAACCTAACATCGAATGCCGGACAGACACATTTTTGATGCCTGGCAACCATAACGCCGATCTTAATGCTCTTTACTGCGATACTAACAAGTAAATATTAAACAGAAGTTTTATATTGGTGAACACTGAAGATTTGTATAGTGAACGTATCCTCTCATAGCCATAGTCAGGTCTAAAAACAAACTTTCATTAGCGCAATGGAAATCTGTGTACAATTAAGTAGTTTGGTCGAAATTTCCGTTTTTTGCGTACACTGTGAGGTAACTATAATAACTAACGTTGAAAACCAGTTTCTTATATTTCTCCAATGTGTTTTCTCTTGTATCCGCAGGTCAGGTAAACTCCCGGCTAACAACCCCATCCCGTGGAGGGGAGACTCCGCCCTCAACGACTGTGTGGTGGGGGGCTGGTACGACGCTGGGGACCACCTCAAGTTTGGGTCAACTATGGAGTACACGACCACTATTTTACTTTGGTCAATGTACAAGTATGTTCACTCTCTGTTTAACAACAAGTTTCAGTTAACATAGTTAAATGATTTCCGTAGATCCTTGCTATTCTCCGGGTGCGAGGTGTTAGTAAGTAGATGTAGGGGACAGAGTGGTCGGTTCGCTTGACTAATAATTTTAAAATCCAAAGTTTGGACCTCGGCATTTGAGGCTCGTAAGCAGGGGACAGCCACCTATCTAGGTGATCAGGAACCAAGATAAAATAACTGCTGTCTTGCAGATTGTTCTTAGGTGGAGAAAGGCTTTGAATGCAAACTCAGAAAGAAAAACATTCTAAAGTCGGAGTCAGCTTGCCTTATAGCGTGTAGAATGTCCACCTATTTGTGTTGAAGGTAACGCCCATCAATTTACTCTTTGAAAAAGGGGTCATCCGTAAATGACGTCAAGCTTTTTTGACGATTTTTACCCCCCCCCCTCCCCCTCCACTCCGCCACACATCGGCACAAAAGGCCAGACCCCCAGACGTCACACCTCAGCCTACACCCCCCGTCCTCAAAATTGCAGTTGAATTTTTCTAAAAACATCGATATTTTTCAAAAGTTTTGTCTGAACTATACCAACATAGTGTTTTAAACAATTTCTATTACAATTTATTTTAAAAAGTTTTCTAAAACGCGAAATAACGGCTAAAATACGTTTTCTAACATTGTTTTTTTATAATGCAAAAGTGTGACGTCACACCATCTGAACCCCCCTCCACCTCGTCACATACCTCTTCGAGTGTGACGTCATTTATAGATGACCCCGAAAACGAAAGAAAAGTAGATGACTGCAACTGAACATGTAGGTCTACATTTATCGGCTAACCATACATCAACAGTGGCGTCGCTAGGTCGGGTGTCACCCGTTGTGGCAACTTATGGTATCACCTACCCCCCCCCCCCCCCCCCGAAAAAATTATATATATATATATATATATATATATATATATATATATATATATATATATATATATATATATATATATATATATATATACAGCCTATATATATTGTTACGATCCCACGAGATCTTGGCCTGAGTTGGACCTATAGAAGGGAAGAGACCGGTCGCCTATAAACTAAGGAGCGGTAGCGCAAATTGCAGGTGTAGGGTTGACGATACACGTGACCAGACTAAACAGGTCTAGAAGTAGACAGTCAACGAAGCACGTGTTATAATTATATTGTAATTACAGACGTGGTCATCAATGGGGTAGGTGTCGCAGTCACGTATCTTATTGGCCTGGGTGACTGTAGTGGGGGTGCAACAGTTAAGGACTATATAACTGGACGAAGTTTATTAGCAGGGTCTGAGATTTTAATTAGGTACCCCAGAACTGTGGCAACATGCAAATTAGGTTAGCCTGGATGGGGAGGACTAAGAAGGGAGACCGTTGTTTAAGGAGGGGTTTGAGACGGTAAGAAGGAGACTGGAGACACACACACGGATAGCTAGCGTTAGGAGACTCATGTGAGCTGATGACAAGCCACGAGATGTCTGTAGACTTAGATTAGAATGGACCGTTAGGGACAAGTAGTGTAGTCGAATTGAGGACTTTATTATATTCTGGTTGTATATAGTTCTATTTTCTTATTGTGCTCCATGTGGTGGCGGTTAGCGTTGGTTGTTGTATCTTTATGTGGCATTAAATAGTTGAAATAATTGTTAATGGTGTTTATTCATTGTTAGTTTTTGTTCTTGGATTAGGAGAAGGGGTATCGTAACAATATATATATATATATATATATATATATATATATATATATATATATATATATATATATATATATAGATATACATATATATATATATATATATATATATATATATATATATATATATATATATATATATATATATATATGTGCTGAACTTCGTCTGATTTTGGTTTATGTATAGGACAATGAGTAACATTGCGACCAAATACTTTTTTGCAACGTTTGTATTTTCTAGAAGCTCTTTGCCCCTGATGGGTATACTAAATTTGTAATTAAATTACTATAATTGTACATTTTCTATTGCAAAATATACAAAATGTGGTTTCACCCCAATCCACTTTGATGTCAGTCCCTCTCCCCATTAGCTTTTTGTCGAGTGGCGTCAAATTATATTAATCCACCTAGAAAAAGCATTGAGGGGCCTAATTCTAACAGTTATTAATTCAAATGGAAACATCATTGCTTTTGTAGAAAATTATTAAATTATGTGTCACCCCTCTCCCAGTGATCGCTTTAAACTATGCACATATAATACTAACGATGTTTATTTATAGTAGGTAATTAATAAGGCTGGATGTCACATTGTTTTCTCTATCAATAGCAGGTTTAGGTCATGGTGTCACCCCCCCCCCCCCCCAACTATTGTCGTGATTTGTCAACTTGGCTCTTAGAAGACTATCTCTAATTAAGCATTCATTTAACTGGAACGATAATTGTTTTTCTCTATATATTTTTCTATTTTTTGTCTTGTGGTCACCCCCCCCCCAAAAAATGGTGTCATCCAGTGCGGTCCGCGCCCCCGCCCCCCCCCCCCCTCGCGACGCCTTTGTAAAACAATACTATTGTGCAACGAAATTAGCCATATATATTCCACTAAAAGTGATTTAAAAACATGTTTGTTTCGTCACTGATGAATATAGATGGAAGGACAGCTATGTCAAGGCCGGTCAGCTGACCCAGGCCTACGATATGGTCAAGTGGCCACTGGACTATTTCCTCAAGGCCTGGAACTCAACAGCTCATGAGTTTGTCTTCCAGGTGGGCGGCGATGCTGACCACCACTATTGGGGACGTCCAGAGGACATGACCATGGCGAGACCTTGCAAGAAAGCGGACATAGCACATCCGGTACGTACTGCAACATCTGATATATTCTGGAATATTAATTCTGTTCTGCAACATTTGATTTGTTCTGCTAAGTTAAAATTTCAGCAAAAATTTGATCTGTCCTGGAAAGCTATATATATATATATATATATATATATATATATATATATATATATATATATATATATATATATATATATATATATATATATATATATATATATATATATATATATATAAAGCAATATATTTTTATTGATATAAAGAAGTGTATGGGTGTGCGTGTGTGCGTGTGTGTGTTAGTTTGTTTGTCCTTTATGCATTTCTACACATTTTATCCGATCGCCGTGAAACGTTGAGAAATTGTCGAGAATACACATGGGGAGGCTTCCGAGTAATTTTTTTTTTAAATTCGCAGAGTTGTCGCCCCGATAGAGCGCGATTTGTTTCTTCTATATAAACGGTATGGAAAATTAAACGTTAATTGCAGTTCGACATCGTTCATCCGATCGCCATAAAACTGTGGTTAGTTTGTAAGAACACTCAAATGGAGGTTTTTGCAAAAAAAAATCTTAATTTTTATTTCGCAAGGGCGGCGTCCCGAGAGGGTGGGATTTTTCTCGAATTCGGCAGTGTAATAAGGGTTTCTCGAGAGCGCCCTCTACGTCCCTGACACCTGGGCGGTCACTGAAGTGTGTTCTACCTCACTATTACGGTGAGCGTTTAACGTACACTCAAGCCTTTCATGCGGTAGTGTAGGTAAACACGTACCTCGATAAATATAATCCAACGCAGGCGTTGTTTACATTTAAGTAACTCAGTTTTAGAAAACAAGGTCACACGTCTAAGAATACAGGATTGATAACGCATTGGCGAAACCCTTCTTATATATTCCGTCAAAATTTCTTCTACCCCCGAGTCAACGTGAGGGGACGGGCACGCTAGTATGTTATAAAAGATCACAGGTATGGTGTGTTTAAGATTCGAAAAGTTCTATAATACTAGGAAAGGTAAGGATGATTGTTCTTTTGTCCCTGAAAATTTAATACGTTCTGGGACATGGGATATATTCTGGAATTTTTAATTAGTTCTTGAAACTTTAAGTTCTGAAACTATTTGATGCGTTTTAAATTCTTGAACATTCTATACGTTTTTGAACTTTTGATAATGTCTGGAGAAAAAAAGTCTCAAATGGTCCTAGGCGCTTTGACCACAGGTGCTTTGATCATGGGGGGTTTGACCATAGGGAATTTGACCATAGGGGGTTTGACCACAGCACCTTTCAAATGTTAAATTAGATCTGCAATTTTGTGTTTTTTGAAAACCTAGGTAAAAAAGTAATTCTATAAATATTTGAAAGGTTCGGGAAAATTTAATAAGTAGAAGAAAAATGTATTTAGTTCAAGTTCATGTGATTAACTGTTAAACATTAGTCGTTTATCTTTAAAATTTATGCAAATCATGTAGCAATCGTGAAGTTAAAAAAAAACATTCGGTTTATTTTTAAACGTAGTTTCATAACATGCCGTAAATAAAATACATGTGTAAGAAAGTTTCATACAATTACTGGAGAAAGTTTTGTTTTCTCTGCAGAGAAGTGACATAGAGGGAGGGACAGCCGCTGCTCTGGCTGTTGGGTCACTGGTGTTCAAGGACAAGGGAGATACAGCCTACAGCACACAGCTGTTAACAGCCGCTGAGAGTTTGTACAAGTTTGCTAACGATCATAAGTAAGTGCAATAATCACGTTAATAGTATTTAAAGAATAAAACAAATACCTTTTTTTAAAAAAAAAAGAAAATAAGTTTATTTTATATATTCCTTTCTTTAGTACTTTAGTACCTTTTTAAAAAAAAAAGAAAATAAGTTTATCTATATATATAATTCTCTTCTGGGAGCCGTTAGAAAACAAGCTGCAAGCGCGCCTTACAGTCCCCTCTCCTCTTCTCTATCGCTACCACCCCCACCCTCCACCCTCTCACATGGTCTGGTGAGCTGTGGTTCACGCTGTTTACATTTTACAATCATAGAGACGGGTTTGGTGACGGCTATTAGGGGCAGATAATTTAGTTTGAAACGATTTTAAACTTAGAGGAGGTAACTAAGAGGAGGCTGCTTTCACGTTAGGGGGGGGGGGGGGGGGGGGGGTTAGTGTTTTTAAGCAAATATTTTCAGTGGCAGCATTGATACTGTCGAATTCACAAATTATAAATTACTGAAAAGTAGAAAAAAAAACAACTAAATAGCGGTGTATGATACGCAGCGGGTCGGCTCGTTTTATATATTCCTTTCTTTAGTACTTATAAAAGTTTATATTATAAATGTTTTTATATTTGTTTTATTATTTTTTTAGTAAATAGTTTTAAAAACACAACAATACAGGCCTCGACTAAAAATTATTTGCTTTGAAAACCGATCAGTAGCTTAGTCTGTGGTCGACGCCGAGTTAAAATGTCACTCATCCTTGATTTTTTTTTTACCGTTTACGGCAAACTGGTACCAGCATTCTATTATTGAACTAGCTTGCCCGTCTGACGATATATACAAGAAGGGTTTCGTCAATGAGTTTACCAATCCTATAGAATGGCTCTTTCGGGAACCCCTGATTACATTACCGCAGGGGCGCCGCCTAAAACTTACGTAAGAATCATGGTGCTCACAGGATAACCCAGTGCGCCAGACAGCACCCTCCCGGTACGCGGGCGGACGCCTTGATCCAATTTAGTGAACGACTCTAACACCCCAACTTATCCAGTCTATCACACTGATTAAGATGAACGTTGTCACCATAGCGGTCACGGGAAAGCATTGGGGTGCCAAATCACAGGATGCCGTTATTGAATTTTTTTTCATCAAAGAAACCCTCTCGGGAGTATTCTCATCAACACTCCAAAGTTTCATGGAACTCGGATCAAGGGCGTCAAACCACATCCTAATTTTATTTTTCATAAACCGTATAAACGCTCGGGTGTTTCGATCTAGACAGATAGACAGACAGACAGAGGAAGTGAGTTAAATAAAAGCTTGTAAAAACAAACTCTTAATGATATTGTATTTAATTTTTAAAACCTTTTCATACAAAGTAATCTTTTTAAAGCTAAATAGATAGCTAAATAGTCGGTGTGTGTGTGTGTGTGTGGTATAAATTAAAACATTTAAATTACATGAAATTAAAATTATTAAAGAAAAGAAAATTTCTCTATTATTAAAACAAAAATTGATTAAAAAACCTCGAGTTTTACACACACAGTTACACTTATTATTATAGATATACACATTACTACTGCTATATTCTTAATGCTCTTAATCAGGGCATTGTATCATGTTCTATTGACTTTGATCACTACCGATTTCCAGGAGCACGGATAGCTACAAGGACGAGATCTGTGAGGCTGGGGTTTGGCTCTACAGGGCCACGGGGAGAGCCCAGTACCTTAACGAGGCCAAGGCCAACGCTGAATCTGGTTACATCTGGGCCTATCAGACGGCGGATAAGAGGCGTGAGTAATGTCCAAAATTAGCCAGAGTAGCGTTTTTGACGGTGTCCAAAGTAAAGTCAGTAGATCGACAATATAGGGTCAGAAGACTTGGTATTTAAAGTAGTGTCAATAGACAGTTTCAGAGTAGAGTCAGTCGATGGTGTCCCCGGTGGAGTTAGTAAAAGGTTTTAACAGCAGAATATCCAATATAGGGTTATAGACAATGAATAAAGTGGGATTCTTAGCCCAATCTCCATTTTCCGTAGAAAACACAAAGAAACAAAATTCCTACCTCCAGACATTATGTTCTGACAAGAGACAAGTTTAATTAAGTCAATCCCAAGTGACATTATATATAATTGACCGAGGTGTTTTTCCTTATAGCAGTGATACTTGAAACATAACTAGACAAATAATCCAAGATATCAAGTATACATATGACAAAACGTATAGTAGAACAAAGTATTTGACACTAACACACATTGCGTTTCGACTACCTACACTAATAAAGCGGGAGTGATCTCCCCTAAACTTTCTCGAATATTCTTATATAACTCGGAATATAGACTTGATTTTTCATTACTTAGACTTTTGACAATAGAATAGAATCTCGTAGAAAAAAGAATTGCGTACCAAGCGAACGCCAAAATAAAATGTGCATAATAGTGCGCAATATTATTAGTACTTTATAAATTTACATGCGCTCTTTGAGAAATCGGAAATAGCGTTAATTAGTACTTCCGGTCAACGGAAATTATTCAAAATTTAATAGAATGTAGAGAATTAGATCTTTTACTTACATGTGAAATTTCATTTATCTATCTGAAATAGTACTCAAGTTATAGGCTTTTGAAAAATTCAAAGTAGGAAAAGTACCACTTCCGGTTATCGGTAATCGCTCAAAAGTTGATACGGATCTACGATTTTGATAAAATACTTATATATGAAATTTCATCAACCTAGCTTTAACGGCACTCAAGTTATCGTGTTTACACAGACAGACAGACACACACACACACACAGACACATAGACATACGGACAAGATTGCAAAATTATGTTTTTCCGTATCAGTGAGGTGTAAAACGTCGAGATTTGTAAAAAATCTCGATTAGTTTTTTTTGCACGATTACAATACTTTGTCTATACTTCGTATGTACGAGAAAGTAAAAACGTATATAGAAACAATACCCACCAGATTATGCAACATAGTTGCCATTTTACAACATGTCCATGGCCATGGCTGTGTAATCCCACCAATACGCCACTTTTACGTTAAAACTACCCCAACATATCTACATGGATGATAAAGAGAAGAGTTGGAGAAGAATGTTTCATCATTCATCCATCTATACATGTTTGTTGTAGTTTCACTATGTGCTAGTGTTCCAATGTTTCTATATACTAGCCATCGGTACCCGTTACACGTAAATTATAGATCTTTATTTTTTTTAAATTGTTATGCTTGTTTGAGAAATATATTTTAGAAATTAGTTATTGGCAAATACGCAATGTGCGTTATTACAAGTTTATCGATATTAGTGAAATAGCGAAGATATAACTAAATAGCTAAATATCTGACACATTTAACATAACATAAGCTAGCAATAAGGGGACGGAGTGGTCTAGCGAGTGAAGTAGAGTTCACTTGTTTCTGTGACCTCGGCATATGAAGAGATAGTGTGGTCAGAACTATGCCCAGCCGCCTTTACTTTCCCTAACGTGAGTTAGGTGCCCATCAGAGTTGGGCGGACTCAGTGACTGTTTACTGACTTGAACCCGGATTTGATCAATACATTTCTCTAAAAAGTGTCAATAGATTTGTCTATAAATTTATGTTTACCACAATTTATCCACCAGTCGCGTGTCACCAACTGCTGTATGAAGAGACCCACGATACCGTCCAGAGAAATGGTGTAATCGATTACTTCAACGCCTGGTTCCCCGGGGGTAGCATCCACTACACACCATGTGGCCTGGCCTGGGCTATGAAGTGGGGCTCTCTCAGGTAGGTTTAAGGGGGCAGGCTCCGATAATTTTTGTTTTGTTTTATTCGTTAGAAGACAGTTATTCCTTTACAGCTTTATTAAGATACATCCGCATATGCATCTCCACTTTTAAAAATTGGTGGAAAAATCTTGGTAACAATGACAACGGCGGCCATCTTGAAAAATTAACCTCCTTAAAAGCATAACACACAACACGCTCAAAACACATCTTCATAATAATCGTTTCCTGTTCGTGCACAATATACAAGAGGCAGATGAAGTAGAGTTCATACGTTTTATTGTCAATGGTACAAAAAAGGGCTAGTGTGGCCAGCAGTCTGCGCAGTCGCCTTAATCGTGAGTCAGGTACCCATCAGAACACGGTAGAAACAGGGAGTCCTACAGACTCGAACTCAGTATCAAAACTCGAGTCTCTAAACATATAACAAATTTTAAACACATTGCAAATTCTAAACATATTTCACATTCGAGACTAATCACAAATTTAAATGCTCAAAATGTAAAACACGTACCACAAACTAAAAATATTTCACATTCTAAACTCGTCCCAGTTTTAAAAGTCTTAAAGTATAAACAAATATCACATTCTAAACACGTAATCACATTTTAAATACATGTTTAAAAAATATGCCAAACTCTAAACATCTTGTGACCTTAGTCGCCTTGTGTGTTAGGTCTTCTTATTACTAAAGTCATCTTGTGACGAACGTTTTTATTGAAACTAGCTCATCTCAACTTGTTTGTATCCTAGACTAGCCGCCAACTCCGCCTTTGTTGCCCTGTTAGCCGCCGAGGCTGGTATCCAAACAGACCGGTACCGCACCTGGGCAGTCGAGCAGATCAACTACATCCTGGGCGACAACCCTCATGACGGCGGTTGTTATAGTTACCAGATTGGCTACGGCAGCAAGTACCCCCTTCGTCCCCACCATCGGGCCGCCTCCTGTCCAAACAAGCCCGCGCCCTGTGGGTCTGCCGAGGCGACTTCACCAGCCCCTAATCCTCATGTGTTGACGGGTGCTTTAGTAGGTGGCCCCGCAGAGCATGATGACTATGTTGACGTCAGAACCGACTACGTGCTGAATGAGGTTGCCATAGATTACAATTCGGGATTCACTGGGGCCTTGGCTGGAATTGTTCACTTACAGAACACAAACCACATGCCCACCACACACAACAAATGTCCCTGTAACAACTAGACTGCACACACAACACATGTCCCTGTAAAAACTAAACTACCCACAAAACTATTGTTGGTGTAACGACTAGATCACATAGTTAAATATTGTCCGTGCACTCAGATACATCACACGCTCACTAATGCAAAAACACACACACAAACTCCACACATAAATCACATGCTCACCACACACAGCAGATATTCATGTAACAACTATAACAGACACACACAAATACCAACACACAGACAGACGGACATATAACCTCCACACAAAAACATGCCCACCACACACAACAATTGTGAAGTAATAAAAAATGTCTCAGAAAGACAAAACGCAAACATACCAAAATTCTAATTAAAACTATTTTACTAATTAAAGTATCATATCCTCCACTCAACGTTCTATCACATTCACTAATTAAAGTTTCTTCAGTATTGTTTCTTTAATGTAGTGCAATTAATTCATGGTATTGTTTAGTTTAAAACTAATATTTTAATGATTTTTAAATACAATTCTTCTTTAAACAAACATTATCATCTTTTGTTTTGATTTAATAAATTTCTGGTAAAAAAGATAGTCCCGAATAATACGAAGCCATTTACATTTATTGCAAGTATTCATTAAAGCTGAATAACTCAAAGATATTTGGAAAAAAAAATCGACCTATAATATACTTGGTTTATTGTGATCATCGTGCATCTAGTATAAGAAGAATGGTAATATGGAGAAAGGGCTAAACTAGCTTAAAGTCCAGACAATGAAGAAAAAGACAGCGATAAAGTGTGAGTGGATCAAGATGGCATAGAAGACCAAAGTCCTAAATGGACCGTAACGCAGCATGGATGGTTGCATGGGTGTGTTGCATTATCAGATCACACCACACCACTGAAAATTAAAATTGATCCAAAAGTTTCTATTGTTTGAGTATTTAAACTCTGAAAAAAATTAATAAAATGTCACATTGTGTATACATCTTGATTTATACAAATTTCACAGTGTATAGACTGTAGACTGCTATTGACCTACCCAGCTGTGATGGTGAGTTCTTCTTTGAAAGGAGAGACTAGTTCAGTCCATAACTTTATTCATAGTAATTAAATATCCACAGTTTAAATCAGAACTTGATATAAAAACATAAGGACATATCATAAATAAAACTGGATACACTAAAGCAAACCTTCATTCATTCTCACAATCAACGAAAGAAGTTTCCCCCGTGCATTCATCGTAGGTGGCCTCCCGAAATGATACCAGAAAAATGCACAATAGGAAAAATGCGAAGAAATAGAAAAATGCGCAAATACAAACTAATTATACTAATACATTTAAATTTGTCATTTTTCGCGCATATATTTTTATATTATGCTACAGTACAGTCACTCTTCGTTCAAGTCTAAAAAGGCTCGATTTTAGAAAAAATAAATCGGGAGTGACCTCCCCTAAACTTTTTCGAATATTCGTATATAAAACAAGGGATGGCAACTCGGGATATAGACATTGTTTTAAATCTATTTTTAATTACTTGCACATTTTAAAATTGAATAAAATCTCGTAGAAGGATTGCAGACCAAGTGAACGCCAAAAAAATGTGTATAATAGTGCGGAAAATTATTAGTACTAAAAAATTCACATGAGTTTTTTTAGAAATCGGAAATAACCTAAATTACTTCTTCCGGTCAAGGGAAATTACTCTTAATTGGATAGAAGGCAGCTTATTAGGTCTTTTAATTACATGTGAAATTTAATATATCCATCTGAAATAGTTCTCAAGTAATAGGCTTTTGAAAATTTGAAAGTAGAAAAAGTTCCACTTCCGTTTATCGGAAATCGCTAAAAGTTAATACGGATCTAGAAATTTAATGTAATTTATATAAAACTCAATCTACCTAGCTAAAACGGTATTCAAGTTATCGAATTTACAGACACACAGACAGACACAACTACACACACAGACATACGGACAAAATTGCAAAGTCCAGTTTTTCCGACTCGATAACGAATAAAACGCCAATATTTGGATATATCTGGATTTATAATTTTTGCCCGATTAAAATAAGTCCTCTATACTTCGGATGTGATGAAGGACTGAGGTGCTAAACGGTGAAAACTGTCAAAATTGAATGTGATTTTTGTGCACGATTAATATACTTTCTCTATAGGCCCTACTCTGTATACGAGAAAGTAAAAATGTCCGAGCGCACTTTTTTGTATGCAGTTTTCCGTTGCGTATCTTTCTGTCCACTCTCCCGATACTGATCTACAAATTTGATATAATACTTATGTATGAAATTTCACCTACCTAGCTGTAAGGGCACTCACGTTATCGTGTTTACAGACAGACAGACAGACAGACACACACACATATACACACATATACACACAGACATACCGGAAAGATTGCAAAACTATGTTTTTCCGACTCAGAAGGTGTAAAACTTCGAGATATGCAAAAATCTCGATTTTTGTTTGTTTGCATGAGTACCAGTCTTTCTCTACCACAGAACCCAACATTAAAATTTTGTCTCTAGCAAAAAAACATGTTTTCTCTTCCATTATATATATTTTTCCTCTAGATAGCCACTCTAAGTTAATAACTTAAAATAAGACACATTATTTCTGTCTCAAGATAACCCATCACATTAAAGGTATTTGCGAATTTAATCACCAACACAATTGTTCTGAAGCGGCCAGGAATGACTTGCATTAACTGTAAGTACATGGTGCACGACTTAAACAACTCGTGCAAATAACGGTGATGGTACATCCATGAACTTCATGAACAAGAACGTAGCTGTAATTAGGGTTTTAGATCGCGAGATAAGAAAAAGTCAAATGTCTCAAACAGGTATAAAGGTCGGACTCCATGCTTATGTTTTGATAGTTTAAAGAGTAAAGACAGGTTAAAAAAATCCCTTTAGGTAAGTTATGCAGGTTTAAAGGTAAAGCTTTATGATGACTCTTCGATAGGTTTATAGGTTGAGTCTGAGAGTTTTTTCATTTTTCGGTAAAGTTTGTAGGTAAAGTTTGTAGGTAAATTTTGTAGGTAAAGGCTGAGAAATGTTTTGTCTGTTGGTTATGTTTACATCCTAGAATAAGTTCACGAGACGTTGATCCAAATGTTGATCTAGGTGATGATCAAAATTTTGATCTAGTTATTGATCTAAATGTTGATCCAAATATTGATCAGACGTTGATCCAAATGTTGAACTAGATATTGATCCAAATAATGATCTAGAAGTTCATGCAAATTTTGATCTAGATGTTGATCCAAATGTTTATCCAGAAGTTGATGCAAATGTAAGCGTGCAGTCAAGACTAGGTCTACTGGTGTAAACTGAACATTATGCAGTTAACGTTCTTAAGTCCTGTTTCTATTATTTTTGTTTTTCAGATAGAAATAATTCTTCCATGATGGCGTCATGGTTCATGCTTTGCCTTGTGCTGCCCATGCTTGTGACGCAAACTGAGTCAGTAAAAAACTACGCGTCGGCTTTGGGGAAATCTATTCTGTTCTACGCCGCACAAAGGTAAATTTACATTGAACTGTTATTTTAAATATTTTATTTTCACAATATGTTAAGTGCCGAAAATGTGTATTGGCTGCATGTCACAATCCAACATCAATGAATTCTGAAAAACCTGATGCAAGACAGACACAATTTTGGATGCTCTACAAGTTGCTCTGGGAAGTTGATGCCTTTCCTGCGATACTGCTAACTAAAAATAAACAGAACTTTGATTTTGGTTATCACTGAAGATTTCTGTAATCAAAGTATCTTCTCGTAGCATGGTGTGTTCTAAAAGCATCAACTTTCATAAGCGCAATGGAAATCTCTGTGTGCAGTAAAAGAATTTTGGTTGAAACTTCAGTTGTTTTGCTTACTCTGTGAGGTAACTATAAAAAACAAACTTTTAAAACCCTTGTGTTATATTTCTTTTAAATGTTTTTTCATGTATCCGCAGGTCAGGTAAACTCCCCGCTAACAACCCCATCCCATGGAGGGGAGACTCCGCCCTCCACGATTGTGTGGTGGGGGGCTGGTACGACGCTGGGGACCACGTCAAATTTGGCCTCCCCATGGCATACACGACCACCATTTTACTGTGGTCCATGTATAAGTAAGTTAAATCTATGTTTAAAAATAGATTTTAAATGCAATGCCTTTTTAAAGCATGGTCGTATTAAAGATAAGGTAAATATAAATCAATTATTTAAAAAAATTCTTATTGAAAGCTATGGCGTGGCAAGTTGGCGGCGTCTCTCCCCCCCCCCCCCCCACCCCCTACATTTTACCTCTAGAATGGCTGGCAGGCTTCAACTTAACTTTTAAACGCCACGGTTATCTCTAATTATGATTATAACCCTGGCCTAAGTATTGTCTGTAACCTAATTCCAATCCTAACTGCCGTACTGGCAGAAAATGAAACACTTAGATATAACTGTATAGACTTACAGAGTAAACAAAAACCACAACAACAACAAAACCACGTAATTATTACCTCAGAGCAAGAAGTTTCAATTAGCATATATAAAGGATTTCCGCAGATCCTTGTTATTCTCCTGTGGCGAGGTGTAAGTAAGTACATTTAGGGGACAGAGTGGTCGGTGCGCTTGACTAGTAATTTTAAAATCCAAAGTTTGGACCTCGGGCATTTGAGGCTCCGTTCAGAAACAAAAATGGCACGACACTCGTAGGCTAAACGTGAAACAATGCCATAAAGCAGTAAAAAAAAACAATTTTTAATTAATATATAATTAATTTATTAAACATGTTTATTTCGTCACTGACGCATACAGATGGAAGGACAGCTATGTCAAGGCCGGTCAGCTGACCCAGGCCTACGACATGGTCAAGTGGCCACTGGACTATTTCCTCAAGGCCTGGAACCCAACAGCTCACGAGTTTGTCTTCCAGGTGGGCGACGAGACTCTTGACCACAACTTCTGGGGACGTCCAGAGGACATGACCATGGCGAGACCTTGCAAGAAGGTGGACATAGCACATCCGGTAGGTTCTGGAAATTTGTGATTACTTCTGAAACAAGTGAAACGAGTTCTGAAGCATGTAATAAGATTTAGGACATTAATTCTGTCCTGCAAAATTTGATATGTCCTGGAAATATATTATAAAATATCCCAGGTTTGGTGTGTTTTATATTTGAAGAGTTCTATAACATTGGAAAAACTAAGGATCATTTGTTCTGGAAGATTCAGTACGTTCTGGGGCATTTCTGAATATTCTGAAATATTTAATTAGGTTTCGAAGCTTTAAGTTCTGAAATTATTATGTTTGAAATTCTTGAACATTCCATACGTTTCGGAACATTTATTTCGGAATAATAAAGTTTGAAATGTTTGATAAGTTCTGTAATTTTAATTTTTTGAAAACCATGGTAAGTAACAGCAATTCTTTAAATACTAAAATTTAATGCGTTCTGGATTATTTAAAAAGTAGCAGAAAAATGTCTTTAGTTCAAACTCATCTGATAAGCTGTTAAACATTAGTAGGCTATCTTTAAAAATGTATGCAATGACGGAGCAATCGTTAAGTTAAAGAACATTCCATAAGTTTCTGAACGATGTTCCTAAACATCCAGTTAATAAACTAAACCACACGTGTAAGTAAGTTTGATAGAATTACAGAACAAAAGTTTCGCTTTCTCTGCAGGGAAGTGACATAGCAGGAGGGACAGCCGCTGCCCTGGCTGTTGGGTCACTGGTGTTCAAGGACAAGGGAGATACAGCCTACAGCACACAGCTGTTAACAGCCGCTGAGAGTTTGTACAAGTTTGCTAACGATCATAAGTAAGAGCAATAACCACGTTAATAGTTTTTTGAAAAAAAAAAAACAAAAAAAAACGACAAACTATAGATACTATTGTGTTTACTTTTTTTTTTATACAAAAGGCGTCAGAATTAAAATCATTATACGGCCGGCTATAATTTGTCTTTAGTTAGACAAAAAGTAAAAAAATAGGCACATATATTTTATTATTCGTAAGAAAAGAGAAACCAAATTATAAGCACAACTATACTTACTATTGTAGCGATAAACAGTTCCACGTAGATCGTTATAATGCTCTGGTGTAGGGCTTTGTCTCGTATGTTCTATTGACACTTACACTGTCTCTCGTCCAGGGGTGCGCGGACCTTTGACCACAGGTGCTTTGACCATAGGGGGTTTGACCATAGGGGGTTTGACCACAACGGAGCTTTGACCATAGGGGGTTTGACCATAGGGGGTTTGACCACAGCGGGCCATTGACCATAGTGGTGCTTTGACCATAGGTGGTTTGATCATAGGGGGTTTGACCACAGGTGTTTTCTCAGCCGAGGGTCTTTGATCACAGGTGGTCTATCAACTGGTGTTTGATCACAAGCACCTTGTCCGGCTTTGATCATAGGTGTGATACAATTAACACGATTTTATACATGTTTCCTGAGAGTACGTTAATAGAAATTAACATGTATTTAAAAAAGCCAAGAACTATATTTTAGTCTCCACATGTAGGCTGGTGCTAGACCTCATAGATTTATTTTAAATATAAATGAAACACAAATAATGCGACATATAACAAGTTTCACAAATAAATAATGTAGAAGTATTTGAAAATACATAGCATATATAAAGGATAAAAAATGATACAAAACTTGCCACCAATATATTCAAAGATGTAATACATAAAATGGTTAACTAAATGACAGATGTGCTATAGCACGCAAATATGCCAGTACATCTGTATGACCATATTATTACATCATGTCGAAATTTAAAATATAATTTAGCAACTTTTAAAATAAATTCTTACCATATATGGACAGCATTGGACAAACCACCTGAGATCAAAGACCCTATGTGGACAAAACACCTATGATCAACGCCGGACACAGCGCTTGTGATCAAACACCAGTTAATAGACCACCTGTGATCAAAGACCCTCGGCTGAGAAAACACCTGTGGTCAAACCCCCTATGGTCAAACCCCCTATGATCAAACCCCCTATGGTCAAAGCACCGCTATGGTCAAGGCCCCGCTGTGGTCAAAGCCCCTATGGTCAAAGCCCCTATGGTCAAAGCTCCGCTGTGGTCAAACCCCCTATGGTCAAACCCCCTATGGTCAAAGCACCTGTGGTCAAAGGTCCTAGGACCCGTCCAGGGGACTGTACCAGACCAACACCTACGGCTCTACCAGTTACAAGGACGAACTCTGTGAGGCTGGGGTTTGGCTCTACAGGGCCACGGGGAGAGCCCAGTACCTGAACGAGGCCAAGGCCAACGCTGAATCTGGTTACATCTGGGCCTATCAGCTAGAGGATAAAAGGCGTGAGTATCATGGGGTCGGTATAGGTGTCCAAAGTGGGATCATTAGACGGTGTTCAAATAGGAGTCAATAGATAGTGCCCAAAGAGTAGAGTTGGCGAAGAATGTTTCATCAACACATTCATACATCATATATTTTTGTAGCATTTTCACCATCAGCTAGTGTTCACATCTATATATACATACATCACGCAGTTAACTTTTTATTTAAGTAAAATGTGTACCTAACATTTTAAATTTTATCTATAAAAACTATCAATAGATGTGTCTATAAATTTATGTTTACCACACTTTATCCATCAGTCGCGTGCCACCAACTGCTTTATGAAGAGACCCACGATACCGTGCAGAGAAATGGTGTAATCGATTACTTCAACGCCTGGTTCCCCGGGGGTAGCATCAAGTACACACCATGTGGCCTGGCCTGGGCTATGAAGTGGGGCTCTCTCAGGTAGATTTAAAAATATAAAACACAACACACTCTAAGCATATGAAGAGGCAGATGAAGTAGAGTTCATATAATTCATTGACCATGAAGGGATAGTGTGATCAGCACTATGCGCAGCCGCCTTAGTTTCACGATCTTGAGTCAAGTAGCCATTGTAACCCGGTAGACACAGGGAACCCTACAGACTCGAGCCCAGGATCAAAACTCGAGTCTCTAAACACATAACAAAATTTAAGCACATTGCACACCCTAAACATGTTTAACTCTCTAAACTAATAACAAATTTAAAAGCTCGAAATGTATAACACGTATCACTCAATAAAAACATTTCACTGTCCTTATCTAATCACACATTCAAAAAGAAAAGCTTAACGTATAAACAAATATCATATTGATCTAGATGTTGATCCTAATATTGATTTAGATGTTGATCCAAATATTGATTTAGATGTTGATGGAAATCTTAACACCTAGCACATTCTAAATACGTAATCACATTTTAAATACATTTAAAATAACATGCAAAACATTTTTTGACCTTAGTCTCGCTGTGACTTAGGTCATCTTATCACTGAAGTCATCTTGTGACCGAGGTCCTCCTATGAATAACTCATGTCAACATCTGTGTCTTAGACTGGCCGCCAACTCCGCCTTCATTGCCCTGTTAGCCGCCGAGGCTGGTATAAACACAGACCGGTACCGCACCTGGGCAGTCGAGCAGATCAACTACATCCTGGGCGACAACCCTCATGACGGCGGTTGCTATAGTTACCAGATCGGCTACGGCAGCAAGTACCCCCTCCGTCCCCACCATCGGGCTGCCTCCTGTCCTAACAAGCCCGCACCCTGCGGAAATGCCGAGGCTAACACAGCCGCGCCCAATCCTCATGTGTTGACGGGTGCTCTAGTAGGTGGCCCAGAGGAACAAGATAATTACGCTGACGTCAGGACCGACTACGTACTAAACGAGGTGGCGGTGGATTACAATTCGGGATTCACTGGGGCCTTGGCTGGAATTGTTCATTTACAGAACACAAACCACATGCCCACCACACACAACAAATGTCCCTGTAACAACTAAACTAACAGCACAACTAATCTTCGTGTAACAACTAGACCAGACAGACACATACAGTGCGTGAAGCAAATACATCACACGCTCACTAATGCACCCACACAAACAACAAACTCACCTCACACAAGAAATGTCCATATAACAACGATACCGGACACACACCACCAACACACACGTACATGTAACCTCCACACAACAACATGCCAACCACACCCAACAATTGTGAAGAAATAAATTAAATTGAAGTCACAGAAAGACCACACGCAAACATATCAAAATCCTTATTAAATCTATTTTATCAATAAAAGTATAATATATTCCACTGAACGTCATATCATATTCACTAATTAAGGGTTCTTCAATATTGTGTCTCTTATGTATTGCAGTTAATTGATGTTATTGTAAAATTTAAAATTACTGTTTTAATGAGATTTAAATACAATTCGTCTTTAAAAAACATTATCATCTTTTGTTTTAATTTCTTAAATTTCTGGTAATTTGGATAATCCTGAATAATACAAAGCAATTTAAATTTATTGTAAGTATTCATTAAAGCTGAATAACTCAAAGATATTTTTGTGATCACCATGCATTTAGTAAGAGAGGGATGGGTAATGTAGATACAGGCCTAAAATAACTTGAAGTCCTGAAAATGAAGAAAATGACAACGGTCAAGTTTAGGTGGATCAAAGTAGTGTAGCAGTCAAGATCCTTAAATGGAACCTAAGTTTGAATCAGAACTTGATATAAAACCATAAGGAAACACAAAGAATAAAAATTGATACACTGAAGCACAACTTTATTCATTCTCACAATCAACGAACGTATATATATATATATATAGCCACTCACTTAATTACAACACAGATCACGATAACCCATCACACGAAAAGTTTTTGCGAACTTAATCACCGACACGATTATTCTAAAGCAGCCAGTAGAGGCTTGCACTAACGGTCAGTACATGGTGCACGACTTAATCAACAGATAACAGTGACGGTACATCCTTGAACTTGACTGACATGAAAGTTGCTAAAATTAGGGTTTTAGATCGCCAGATATGAAAAAGTCAAATGTCTCAGACAGGTATAAAGGTAGGACTTAGTGCTTATGTTTTGATAGTTTAACAGAGACAGGTTTCTAAAATTCGTGTTTAGGTAAGTTGAACAGGTTCGTAGGTAAGTCTGTGTGATGACGTCTAAATAGGATTATATGTTAAGTGTAATCGTATTTTTCGTGTTTCGGTAAAGTTTGTATGTAAAGTTTGTAGGTAAAGACTGAAAAGTTTTTCATCAAATGGTAATGTTTACATCCTAGAATAATTTCAATTTGATCAAAATGCTGATATAGATGTTGATCCAAATATTGATCTAGATGTTGATACTAATATTGATTTAGATGTTGATCCAAATATTGTAAATTGAACATTATAAAGTTATCGAGAATCGCTGTTTTGATACTTTTTATTTTCCAGATTGAAGTAATTCTTACATGATGGCGTCATGGTTCATGCTTTGCCTGGTGCTGCCCCTGCTTGTGACGCAGACTGAGTCAGTCAAGAACTACGCGTCAGCTTTGGGGAAATCTATCCTTTTCTACGCCGCACAAAGGTAGATTGGAATTAAAATGTTCTTTGAATTTTTAGCGCAATTTCCATTCTGGAGAATTGCGTTTATTATTATTAACCAGTCATTCCTGGGTGTATGAATGTGTGAATGAATGGATGGATGGATGGGTGGATGTGTGTCCGCAGCTTTAAGTCGTATCTCCTCCTCAACGAAGCAATATCGATGACTAGTTCCAAAAGCAATTATGTTAAGCAAGTTACGAGGATAAACATAGGCTATAAAAATTCCGGGTTTCTTTCATGGATTTCCCGGAAAAGCCAAAAAAACCTCGAAAAAATGCAGTTTTTGGCCCATATCATGTCCACATCATTTTTAAAGGCCCAAATAGGCAAAAAGCTTGGCGTCATAAAAAATAACGATGGGTTACAAACATCCTCCCAACTCTATTAGGGGACAAACAAATCTTTCGATGCTGGATAAACATAAAGTTGGCAATTAGTGCCCTCTACTGCGATACCGAATATTAAAAAATAAACAGCACATTTAATTTTGGTAATTACTCAGAATCAATTAAGTAAAAGTATCCTCTTATATACATGGTGTGTTTTGTAACATCTACATTCACAAGCCCAATGGACTTAAACTAAAAAGCTGTTTGCTGAAGAGGTTTGGTAGAATCTTCGATTGTTTTCCGTACGTTGTGAGGTAATTATGATAAGAAACGTAGATAACTGTATCTTTTATATTTCTCCAATGTGTTTTTACTTGTATCCGCAGGTCAGGTAAACTCCCCGCTAACAACCCCATCCACTGGAGGGGAGACTCCGCCCTCCATGATTGTGTGGTGGGGGGCTGGTACGACGCTGGGGACCACGTCAAGTTTGGGATGCCTATGGCGTACACGACCACTATTTTACTCTGGTCCATGTACAAGTACGTTTACTCAGTGTTTGAAATTAAATTTAAAATGCAGGCAAGACTAAGAAAATATAAATAGATTCCTTTTAAAATTCTTATTGTGCAAACTATGATGTGAGAAGAGGAAGGCGTCTTTTTCCTGCACGTGAAAATTTTCATTTTACGTGTCGAATATCTGGCTGGTTTCAAATTAACATTAAACGCCTCTCATATCTAACTGTTATTATAACCCTGACACTGAATATTATCTCTACTCAAATCTTACTACCCAGACTCTTTTCAAAATCCTAACAGCCATACCAGAAGAAAGAGAAACACAACCTCGATATAAATATTTTGACTTGTATATTAAACAACAAAAAATAATCATTCCTGCGAACATCTAGTTTCCATCAGCATATATAAAGAAATCCCTTAGATCCTTGTTCTTTTCCAGTGGTGAGATGTAGTAAATGGAGTAGATGTAGGGTAGGATTTTGCTTGATTTATAACTCCGAAAATCCCGAGTTTGAACTTTGGGCCTGTGAATTTCCTAAAAACGGGACAGCCTCCGTTCTAGGAGAGAAAAGTCAAAGATCAAACAACTGCTGCTTTGCAGATTGTTTTGTGTGGACAAATGCTGTCATAACGTGTTTTTTCGTCACTGTTTTAACAAGATGGAAGGACAGTTACGTCAAGGCAGGTCAGCTGAACCAGGCCTACGATATGGTCAAGTGGCCACTGGACTATTTCCTCAAGGCCTGGAACCCAACAGCTCACGAGTTTGTTTATCAAGTAGGCGACGAGACTCTTGACCACAACTTCTGGGGACGTCCAGAGGACATGACCATGGCGAGACCTTGCAAGAAGGCGAGCATAGCGCATCCGGTAGGTTCTGGTACACTTGATAACTTTTGGAACATGAGACAATATCTGGGCTATTAATTCTGTTTTGCTAAGTTAAAAATACTAGAAAATTTTATTTGTACTGAAAATATGTTGTAAAATATCCCAGGTTTATTTTGTTTTACATTGATAGGTTGTATAACATTGGAGACGATCAGGAACATTAATACTGGAAATATGTTGTAAAATATCACAGGGTTTAGTTTGTTTTACATTGACAGTTTGTATAACATTGGAGACGGTCAGGAACATTTGTATGTGTTCCGGAAGATGTATTATAAAATATTCTGAGAAAATGACTAAAACATTCGATATGTTCTAAAATATTTGATTTGTTCTCAAATCTTTAAGTTCTGAAAATATTTGATACGTTTTGACTTCTTGAACATTTCATAAGTTTTGGAACATTTAATAATATCTGGAAAATTTGATAAGTTCGAAATGATGGATAAGTTCTGGAAAATGAAGTTTTTGAAAACCCTAGTAAGTGACAGAAATTATTTGAAAATTTGCCAAGTTCTTGAATATTTGATAATAGCAGAAACTATATCAAGTTTATCTCGTTAGTTGTTAAACATTGGCTTAAGCAATTTATGTAAATAATATAGCAACTGTTAAGTTAAAGAACATTCAATTTGCTACTGAATAAACGATTTAACACGTGTTAGTAAGTTTGGTAGAATTAGGGGTAAAAGTTTACGGTTTCTCTGTAGGGAAGTGACGTAGCAGCGGGTACAGCCGCGGCTCTGGCTATTGGGTCACTGGTGTTCAAGGACAAGGGAGATACAGCCTACAGCACACAGCTGTTAACAGCCGCTGAGAGTTTGTACAAGTTTGCTATCGACCATAAGTAAGGGTGATAATCACGCGAATAATACATTAAAAAAACTTACGCACGTAAAAAAAAAAGAAAACCTAAAATTAAAATACTTTTAAAATGAGAGTTTGTACATGTTTGTAAACAATCAGGGGTAAGAACGATAACCACGTAAATAGTATTTAAAAAATAAAACAAATATAAATTTAAAAGAAATAAGCTTTTATTATAAAAAAAAGTTGATTTAATTTCTTAATTTTCAGTGCATTTAACAGCTTATTATTAAATGATTTTATGCTTCTTTTATTTAACATTTTAGTAAATCGTTCTAACATTAAAAAAATATTTTTGTTAAAAACCCATCGATAGCTTGCAAACTCTAAAAGATCGTTACATGCCATTTCTTAGTTTGTGGTCGATGCGCAGGCACTAAGTCACTCAGAAAAAATATTCAGTGTACGGCCAACTGATTTAGAATTTTATTATTAAATATGGTAGTTTAAAAATTAACTTTTAATGACTAAACTTATGTCTTATCTTAAAAATTAGACATTTCTGCATTGTCATCTGAGACGGATATATCTTAAAAATTTAAACAAATTTCCTGTATTAGACGTCGGTCCAAATTAAGGTACAAATATAAAAAATCATACACTTTGAACTATATAAAAGATTATAAAAAAAACGATACACTCTAAAATGTGTATAATGTTTCAAGCTAAAAGTCATCGGTATAAATCAAAACATTTAAAAATATTACAAGAAATGAAATGAAAACAAAATATTAAAGAAAATAAACTTCTCTATTTACACAAAAAAATAAATAAATAATAATAATAAAAATAAAAGACCAAGAAATACAAAATAAAAATTAATTTAGAAATTTAAAAAAAAATAAAAACAAAAAACAAAAAAAAAATAAGAGCACATAAATAACAAGTTTAAAACATTAAAAAGAGAACAAGAGCAGATTTTTCATTACTTGCAAGATAAAAGAAACTCGAATTTTATAAGCACAGCTATACTTACCATGGTCGTGATGTTGGCCTACAGAGCTAATGAAAGATTTTGGTGGCACTTAATCAGAGTATTGCATCGTACGTTCTAATGCCATTTATCCTGTCTCTTGTCCAGGGGATTGTACCAGACCAACACATACGGGTCGGATAGCTACAAGGACGAGATCTGTGAGGCTGGGGTCTGGCTGCACAGGGCCACGGGGAGGGCCCAGTACCTGAACGATGCCAAGGCCAACGCTGAATCTGGTTACATCTGGGCCTATCAGCAGGCAGATAAAAGACGTAAGTAGTGTCCTAAGTTTATTGTCTAAAGTAGCGTTATTGACGATGTTCAAAATAGCGTTATTGATGATGTCCAAAGTAGTGTTATTGAAGAGGTTCAAAGTAAACTCAGTAGCTATTCAAGGTAGGACCATGGTGTATAAAGTATGGTCGATAGAGAGTACCCAAAATCTCGTCAATCGACAGTGTCGAAGGTAGAATATATCCAATGTAAGGTTAAAGACAATGGTTAAAGTGGGGATTTTAGTTCCTTGTCCGTGGGGAGTTCAAACATTCAGAATTATCCACACTTTACCAATAACTTACTCACAATTTACCAATAACTTATCCACACTATGCTCGAACTTATCTACGCTCTACCAACAATTTACCTACACTTTACCAAACAACTTATCCACTTTATAATACAACTTATCCACAATTTACCAACAATTTATCCACACTTTACGAACTTCTTATCCACCCTTTATTCACGTTTAACCCAAACTTTATCCACACTTTATCCACCAGTGGCCTGTCACCAACTGCTGTTTGAAGACACGCACGATACCGTCCAGAAAAATGGTGTAATCGATTACTTCAACAACTGGCTCCCCGGGGGTGGCACCAAGTACACACCCTGTGGCCTGGCCTGGGCTATGAAGTGGGGCTCTCTCAGGTAGGTTTAAAAATAGAACCCACAACACGCTCTAAACACATCATCAAGATTTCCGGGTTCATGCACAATAAGCATGGGGGGGGGATGAAGTGTAGTCATTGTAGTTTGTTTTTATTAACTTGGCACACAGGGTGGAGTGGATGGGGGAGGGGAGATAGTGGGGTTTGTACTATGCCTAAAGGTCTTAGTTTCCCTAACATTAATCAGGTACTCATCAGAGCTCGGTGGACACACGGACGTCCTACAGACTCGAGCCCGGGATTAGATCTCGAGACTATACAAAGTTTACACAATTTAAATACATCAAGCTCTAAAAATATGTCACATACAATACTTACCACAAATTCAAATGCTTAAATTTTAAAAGAACATATTACACACTAAACGCACTTTAAACTCTAAACACGTCAAATTTTCAGAATGCTTAAATGCACAATATATAACTCGTAACACATTCTTAACACGTAACCACACCCATGCAAAACATCTAAACATCTAAAGTTGTGTTGTGACTAATTCGTGACAACTTGTCTGTGTCCTAGACTGGCCGCCAACTCCGCCTTCATTGCCCTGTTAGCCGCCGAGGCTGGTATAAACACAGACCGGTACCGCACCTGGGCAGTCGAGCAGATCAACTACATCCTGGGCGACAACCCTCATGACGGCGGTTGCTATAGTTACCAGATCGGCTACGGCAGCAAGTACCCCCTCAGACCCCACCATCGAGCAGCCTCCTGCCCTAACAAGCCCGCACCCTGTGGATCTGCTGATGCTAACTCCCCCGCACCCAATCCTCATGTGTTAACGGGTGCTCTAGTAGGTGGCCCAGCAGAGCATGATGACTATGTTGACGTCAGAAGCGACTACGTTTTGAATGAGGTGGCGGTGGATTACAATTCGGGATTCACTGGAGCCTTGGCTGGAATTGTTCACTTACAGAACACAAACCACATGCCCACCACACACAACAAATGTCCCTGTAACAACTAAACTACGTACACAACACATTTCGACCACACACACATACGGCCTGATCACACAAACCACAAGCCAACCGTTACATTTCGAATTCCGGTATAATAAACTAAATTAAGTCCACACATACACAAATACCAATACATTCAACCTCCACACAAACCACAAGCCAACCGTTACATTTCAAATGCCCTTCTAACAACTAAACTAATACCTTTAACCTACACACACAAATCACATGCCAACCACACACAACGGATGTCCGTGAAACAACTGGACTGTACTCAATATTACCAACACACACACAGAACCTTCCATACACGCACAAACCTCCCAACCACACCAACAGCATCCATACAACACAACGTACATACAAAACACCACCCAATTCTTTACAACGACTGGATAAGCAAGAAAAATAAATATAAATTACACCAATAAAAATTACACCAAAATCGATTCTATCTTTCCTTGATTTGATATGTATTTTTCACATTAGTAAAATATACATCGACGAACATCTTCAAAATTAACATTTCTAATATTTAGTGTCGGAAAATTATTAAGACAATTTTATATTTGGTAAATAGTTGTGTTTTAGTAGTTTTTGTATGTTGCAATTCTACTTCTTAAAGTATTCCGTAAATGGTGTATCGCATTCCCCTTTTTTACTTTCTCGTAAGTACAAAGTATAGAGATAGTCTTGTAATCGTGCAAAAAAAATCAAGATTTTTGCAAATCTCGACGTTTTACACCTCTCTGAATCGGACAAACATAGTTTTGCAATATTGTCAGTATATCTGTGTGTGTGTATGTGTGTCTGCGTGTCTGTGTGTGTGTAAACACGATAATTTGAGTACCGTTACAGCTAGGTTGATGAAATTTCATATATAAGTATTTTATCAAAATCGTAGATCCGTATTAACTTTTGAGCGATTTCCGATTACTGGAATTGGAACTTTTTCTACTTTGAATTTTTAAAAAGCCTATAACTTTAGTACTATTGCAGATTGTAAGTAAAAGATTTAATTCTCTACCTTCTTTCAAATTTTGAGTAATTTCCGTTGACCAGAAGTAGTAATTTACGCTATTTCCGATTTCTCAAAAAAAAACTAATGTAAATTTATAAAATACTAATAATATTGCGTAGTATTATGCACATTTTATTTGGCGTTCACTTGGTGTGCAATTCTTTTCCACGAGATTTTATTCTATTTTAAAAAGTTTAAGTATTTAAAATGGATTAAAAATCATGTCTATATCCCGAGTTCCCATCCCCTGTTGTTTTATGTAAGAATATTCGAGAAAGTTTAGGGGAGATTACTCCTGGTTTATTCTAGAAACCGGCATAACCTTGTAGTTGCCGAATGACGATTTTTTTTTAAATCGGCCAGCGAATGCAGTTTTGTCAATGATATATTTCTTTTTTTTCAAGAATAGCTTTTATTGGTCAATGTTCGAGGACTAGAGAATAAAAATAAGGAATGTTAATGAATTTTGAATATTCGGATTAACTTATCTGGATTAGATTATTTTGAAAAAAAATTAAATTGATTGTTTCCCTTTGTCTATAAAAAATGCTATATAAAAACTTGGATGGGCTTACCGTTCTAAAAATAAAGATTATTAATACCTTAAGTAAAAAATGTTGAGTTTCGCCAGAAAATAGCGATTGGCAATCTATCTCTGCATTTAAAATCAAAGCATGTCTGTGTTATTTGTTTGTCTTTTATCAATTTCTCAGCCTTTGGGAAGATGTTGGAGTGTTTCTGCAAACAAGTAGGGTGTAATTTGGCGCCAGATATCTCCTGACACAATGGCGCGTCTGGTCTTTAGGGTTGACAAACCAGCGACATCATAACTCAGATCTAAGAAATATAGCGCCTGCTTTCTTTAAATTAAATAAACTTAGTCTTAGAAAACGAGGACACGCGTCAAAAAATATTAGTTGGTAACGCATTGATGTAATCGTCTTAAAGTAATCAGCCCACTGAAGTGCGGGACGGGATTGCTAGTTCTGTATACCATGAATGTATATAACAAATTTTAATAATAAACGGCAATAAATTTTATTTTAGTCGAACAAAATAAAAAATGCAAAATACAAGTTTAAACAAAACATCAAAAAATAGCAATATTTTATTTTTATTTTCAAACGGAATAATTTAAGGCAATAAATCAATTTGGGCATTTAATATATTGTTTTGTTGAATAAAATGTTTATATTTTGGTTGTAATAATGTGGACATTTCATATTTGAAGAGTTGAATTTTTCACAAAGCCAACCTCACCCCCACAACAAGAGCCAACAAAAATCGAATTCTGTATCACCACCCTTCTTTTACTGCTGCGAATTTTCACAGTTCGGGTCTAAGAAGAGAGATTCGTTTGGTGTGAAAAGGCTTTATAAGTGTGTGGCGAAAATAGTGCAAGATTGTTAAAGATCAGTCAAAGCTGAGCGTATTCAGAAAAATTCTGAAAGAATTGATGCAATCTCACTTTGGTATTTGTGTTTATAGTGCGTTAAATCAGAGTCAGATATAAAATGTGGAGAAGAGCCTAAGGCGTATTTAATTCGAAACATGGAAAAAGTTAGCAGTTAAGGGGGATTGGATTCAGGAGGTGTAGCAGGCCAAAGCCCTAGATGTGCTAGAGTCGAAGGGATGATTGCTTGGATGCGTTTCATCACTCTATCACCACACTAATAAAAATTGGAAAAAAATATCCGAAATTAATTTAAAAGCATTTGAATATCTAAATACTTAAAAAAAATATAAGGACCTAAAAAATTAGTTACCAATATAATTCCTTCCTAAAAATACAAAAACCAACATTTGCCATTAAAAAAAAGACAAAGATAGTTTCTCTTCCACAATATAGTTCTGTCTCTTGATAGCCACATTAACATAGTAAGTTAACATTACACAAATTATTTGTGTTGCTTGCTTCCCAAACACACCAGAAAGCAACTCTGTATAGTGTTTGTCCATTACATAGAAGCAGTCAGGATTGAAATGCACTGAAGGTCATTACACGGTGCACCACTAAACCATCACGTGCAAGTTAAGTTGATGGTACATCCTTGAACTTAATATAAGAAATTAATGTTTTAGATAAAGAGATAAGAATAATGTTTAATTTTTAAAACAAAACTACAAACTTTATTTTCTCAGATAAGTATAAAAAATATATAGAGTGCCTATGTTTTGATAGATCAACAGGTAAAGACTGTTTTTATTCGTGTTTAGGCAAGCTATACAGGTTGCTAGGTAAGACTTATGATGACGTTTTGATAGGTTTATAGGTTAAGTTTGAGAGGTTTTTTTTTGTTTTCATAAACGTTCCAGATAAAGGCTGAATGCTTTACATCTTACGCTGAATTTTTAAAATGCTGAGACAAATTTTGATGTAGATATTGTTTTAAATGTTGGTTCAAATGTAGATAGTGCAGTATCTTACGCTTGCACGGGTGCATTGAAATTATGTTTACATATTTTGTTAACCCAATTCAATAACTTTAAGACGCAAAACTTCAATTTTTTTTTATTTTCCCAAAAGTAATAATTCCTCCATGATGGCGTCATGGTTCATGCTTTGCCTTGTGCTTCCCATGTTTGTGACGCAGACTGAGTCAGTCAAGGATTACGAGTCAGCCTTGGGGAAATCTATTCTGTTCTACGACGCACAGAGGTAGATTTAAATTGAATTTTTACTTGCACGTAAGCATTTTATTTTCACAATGGTTGTTTAAGTGAAGAAATATGCAAACTACCGGATGTTGAGCAGGAATACATTTAGATTCGGACAGCACATTGCCGGATGCCGTACAGGCATATTTTGAGGCAGCGGGACAGACATAACGACCTAGCTATCTATTGGATGAAGTAGAGTTCATATGTTTTTTTTTACTTCGGCATATGAAAGGATGATGTGGTCACTCACTTTTACTTAGGTCAATGCTGGATGAACTCAGGGACATTCTACAGCTACTAACCGTGATCTTTAAGTTAACAGCCAAACTCTCTATCCTTTGACCACGCCGTTCCAGGCCGGATCTTGTACTAATTACATTTTTTTTCTGACAAACAATAGTGACGGATACCTAACAAACAAATTCCTTGATGTCTTACAAGCGCAACACTTGATATTGAACAAGCATATCGCATTTATGTCGAGCAAGCATAATGTCGCCCAGTGGATAAGCATAATACCATATGGGGTTGTAAATCGCCATTAACCGAACAAGCATATTCACCAACACAAAGAGCAGTCCTGAGATGAAACAGATGATTGTACAAGAAGCCTTCAATTCCTTGTTTAATTGTTTGAAAGTATTTTGTTACCCCGACACATCATTCGAATAGAATGTATAGAGAAATGACTCTGTAAAATAGATCATGAAATTATTTTTAAATTTAAAAAAAATACATTTTCGGTTAGTTTTATTGTAATAGGAGAATTATTCCACTAATTGGTACCAAAAGAGGCAGAGCTATGTCATTGGGAAGAAATGTTGCACATGGGATGTGTAAACTATGACGACGACTTTTTATGTTGCAAGAAAATAGGTCTAATCAATAATAAAGGGCTTATTAGTGAGATATTTTTTATATATATTTTTATTGAGAAACGACTCCCCGTAGTGTATATTTTTTAATCTATTGGAAGAATATTAGATTAGTCAAATAATAGATCGATATCTCCCTAATGAGCACATTCAATAAAGCAAATTTTAATATACTAAGAGAGATTATGTTGATACCTGTTTTTATGATCTCTTCTCTCTCATATTTTTTCTCTTGTATCCACAGGTCAGGTAAACTCCCCGCCAACAACCCCATCCCCTGGAGAGGAGACTCTGCCCTCAACGACTGTGTGGTGGGGGGCTGGTACGACGCTGGGGACCACGTCAAGTTTGGACTCCCCATGGCGTACACGACCACCATTTTACTCTGGTCCATGTACAAGTACGTTCTTGTTGGTTTTTTATAGTTAGAGTTTAGAATTTATAACTTAAAGAATGGCAGCAGTAAAACAAAGCAAATACTGACAAGTTCATATTTAAAATTCATAACGATAACCTTGGCATGGCAATGTGGTGGGTGTGTTTTCTCTCCACGTGAAAATTTTCATTTTACTTCTAGTATCGCTGCGGAATGTAAAAAAAAAGCCAATATTGTTACCTCTATCTCAAAATTTGTTTAAAAACTTGGAAACAATTATTGTCTTTACGATAACTCTAATGGTATTAACTCTAACTAGCCCAAAACTCAATCATAACAGCCATACACACACAAAAAAGAGCTTCAAAATACAACACTGCATTTCTCAGTCAGATAAAATTAAAATCATTAACATGAGTCACATTAATTCTTATAAAATTAGAGGTGACGAAATAATATTTGGACTTCGTGGACTAGGCTACTTTCCTCAGAACCTTAATTAATATAAAATACTAAATTTTATCAAATTGGTATGTGGTGCCGCAGGCCGGGTGGAGAATTCAAACTCTATTACGTCAGTTGCAGGTGCGGAACCAGCGCCGTCATTGTGAATGTCGTTTTCTTTTTTTCTTAACACCGAGAGCTCCATCAGACCCCCCCCCCCCAGTGAGAACCCGTTCCCCAGCTGGTCCCTGGTCAGACATCAAACCTCGCCTTGAGGAAAAGTATAGCAATTAAATTGTTCATTGAAAATAACCGATATTTAATTCAAATAATAACTTATTCACGGTCTACTAAGTGTTCCTCTGTCAGAAATCAAGCCACGCCTAGGGAAAGCGTATAAAAATTATATTGAGAAGCAAAAATATGCCATGCAGAATTGAAATAATACTGACATTAAAAAACTTTTTATTTCTTCACTGTTTAACCAAGATGGAAGGACAGCTATGTCAAGGCCGGTCAGCTGAACCAGGCCTACGATATGGTCAAGTGGCCACTGGACTATTTCCTCAAGGCCTGGAACCCAACAGCTCACGAGTTTGTCTTCCAGGTGGGCGACGAGACTGCTGACCACAACTTTTGGGGACGTCCAGAGGACATGACCATGGCGAGACCTTGTAAGAAGGTGGACGTGGCACATCCGGTAGGTTCTAGAACTTTTGATAACATTCTGAAACATGTGATAAATTGTAAGATATCAATTTAGTTCTGGAACATTTGAGGTGTTTTAGAAAATATAATAAAGTATGGAATGTTTGATCTTAGTGCTTACGTTGGCTAAATGGCATACACTGGCCTAACACCATCTCAAATGATAAAATACTTGGAGTGATGGAAATGGAAGCAGTTTCCAAATTAATTGGAAAAAGACGATGGCGATGGATGAATCACGTCCTATGAATGAATCCAGAAGACATCGCAGGAGTGATGCTAAACTGGACGCCCCAAGAAAAAAGATAGCAGAGGAGGCTAAGGGAGATGTGGAGCCGCACGGCGGGGACGCAGCTGGCAGAGGCAGGACTGTCGTGGGGGACTGCCAGGAACATTGCAGGTGACCGACAAAAGTAGAGGGAGCTTTCTGGCATGTGTCTTGGGCACAAAAAGGAAAAGACGATTATGGAATGTTTAATATGCTTTACATGTTCCATAGCATTTGAAATTTTCACGGCCGTTTGTGTAACTCCTAAAAAAATCAATGTTCTGCAACAGTCAATACATTCTTAGTCCTTTAAACTTGTGAAATTATTTAATACGCTTCTTAAATATTTCATGAATACCAAAACATTTGATAAACTCTGCATTATTTACAAAATAAAATTCAGAACAAAAGTATCGCTTTCTCTGCAGGGAAGTGACGTAACAGCGGGTACAGCCGCTGCCCTGGCTGTTGGGTCACTGGTGTTCAAGGACAAGGGAGATACAGCCTACAGCACACAGCTGTTAACAGCCGCTGAGAGTTTGTACAAGTTTGCTAACGATTATAAGTAAGGGCGAGAATCACGTAATTAGTACGTTAAAAACCTACATACACAATAAAAAAGAAAAGCTAAAACTAAAATACTTTTAAAATGAATTGAGATATATCAAACTATGACAGAATTTGATTGAGAGTTTGTACAAGTTTGCAAACGAAACTAAGTAAGAGTGATAGTCACGTTTATAAAATTAACTAAAACAAAATCCCCCTCAAACTCTGTTGATGATATTGTGTTTCTTAATATTTTTTTTTTAGAAAAAGTCATCTGTATTAAAACTAATAGACTGCGGTTTTAGATTTATTTGGAATAAATTAAAACTTTTAAATTATTGCAATAAATTAAAAATTATTTAAAACAGTACAGAAAACTGTGTCTTTAGTTACACAATAAAGTAAAAAGTTAAATAAAAAGATGTTAACTGAATAGCTTTATTTTATTATTGGTAACGAATGGAACCAAAAGTGTTATAAGCACGTTTACCCTTACTATCTTAGCCATAAACATGCACATTGAGATTATACTCTCGGTCAGCGTTATGTTCTAATTACATTTTCTCCGCCTCTTGTCCAGGGGACTGTACCAGACCAACACCTACGGCTCTACCAGTTACAAGGACGAACTCTGTGAGGCTGGGGTTTGGCTCTACAGGGCCACGGGGAGAGCCCAGTACCTGAACGAGGCCAAGGCCAACGCTGAATCTGGTTACATCTGGGCCTATCAGCTAGAAGATAAAAGGCGTGAGTAATGTCCAGTGGTGTTAGAAGACCATGTCCACAGTGAATCCGATAGACGGTATCTAAAATGGCGTCAGTAGATTGTGTCTAAAAAGGGTCGGTAGACGGTGTCCGAAATAGTGTCAGTAGATGGTGTCTAAAATGGAGGCCAGTAGATGATATCAAAATGGAGTCAATAAATGGTGTACGAAAAGGGGTAAAAACGATGTACGAAATGGAGTCAGTAGACGGTGTCCAAAATGGAGATTAGCAGATGGTGTCACAAATGGTGTTGTAAAATTTCCCTACATGTATAGTAAATGTACAGATTTGAATGTATCTCCGTTTATGTAATTATTATTTTATCTACGTATTTAATCTATATATTTATCTAGAAATTTATCTATACATTAGTCTATTGATTTACTCAACACATGTTACATTGTATTTTTCATCCACACTTTACCAACACTTTATCCATACTTTATCCACCAGTGGCATGTCACCAATTGTTGTATGAAGAGACCCAGGATACCGTCCAGAGAAATGGTGTAATCGATTACTTCAACAGCTGGTTGCCCGGGGGTAGCATCCAGTACACACCCTGTGGCCTAGCCTGGGCTATGAAGTGGGGCTCTCTCAGGTATTATAGCACTGAACACGTTCAAAACATTAACATGATCTAAACACACAGCACATTCCAAGTACATTCTAAACACAGCGAATTCTAAGCACATAGCACTTTGTAAATGTAAGATATAAAAACGGCGGCTAAACTAACCTATCTACCAGGTGTTCTTGCACCTCTGGCAGAACCAAGAATTGTTAAATTCTTGATACACTTATCTATATAAAAACAGATAGTTAAGAAATCATAAATGTATTTCAGAAAAATGTGGATGGAATTTTTACATTTACAAATTGAAACTGTACTTATTACAACATCATATGATCGACAGCTTAATCTAATGATAAAAACAATTTGTAGTAGTGCACTAGTATTTAACTACTTAATGCAACATAAGCGTAGTAAGAACTCTTATTAAGGTGTTGATATATCTATAAGACACGAATATATAACTCATCTCAACTTGCCCTTATCCTAGACTCGCCGCCAACTCCGCCTTCATTGCGCTGTTAGCAGCAGAAGCTGGCATTGAAACAGACCGGTACCGCACCTGGGCAGTAGAGCAGATCAACTACATCCTGGGCGACAACCCTCATGACGGCGGTTGCTATAGTTACCAGATCGGCTACGGCAGCAAGTACCCCCTCCGACCCCACCATCGGGCCGCCTCCTGTCCCGACAAGCCCGCGCCCTGTGGATACACTGAAGCTAACTCCCCCGCGCCCAATCCTCAAGTGTTAACGGGCGCACTAGTAGGTGGACCAGAGGAACAAGATAATTATGTTGACGTCAGAACCGACTACGTGCTTAATGAGGTGGCCATAGATTACAATTCGGGATTCACTGGGGCCTTGGCTGGAATTATTTACTTACAGAGCACAAACCACATGCCCACCACACACAACAAATGTCCCTGTAACAACTAAACTACAAACACAACTAATCTTCGTGTAACAACTAGACCATACTCATACTATCTTACTATCTCACACATTTAGTAGCTATACACCAATACACAATATTACAACACAGACAACCGACCACAATACACTATCTCCCTAAACACAATCCTCCTCACTAAACATTAACTCACTCAACACCTTGGGTTTGAGGGTCCTTTAACATATTGCCGGGCATATTGGACACAACCAGTCAACCTCTGCTCACCACACTCACAGCATCTATTCAATACAACCAAACCACATACAAAATCCCATACACATCTCTACTACAACTGATTACGGTAGAGAAATATAGAAAATAAATTTGATCAGAATAAAAAAAAAACAGTTGGGACCGAAATTGAAAAGCATTTGTTGTAATTCTAATTATTACACAATTTCCTTAATGGTTTATCGTATAAATACATATAATATACATACATACATACACACACAAACATATATATATATATATATATATATATATATATATATATATATATATATATATATTTATTTATTTATTTATTTATATGTATAACTAAAGTATAGTTACTAAAACGCTATTGATAACAGCGTGGTTAGATGTCAACCACGACAAGGCCAAAACTGAACCGAGATATTATGTAAAATTTAAACAGGATGTTTTTTAAGTAACTGGTAGGAATAAAATAAAATACAATTTAACTTATCAACAAGACGTAATACTTGATGTAAACGAGTTGTTTTGTAACTACGCAGTTGACACCAAGCTATTAACCAATTCAAAATATTACGATTGTCGTTATCGAAATAGATTAGTTAGATCTAGGCAAAAGCAGCACAATAACACGAAGTGCCAGGGCTACTTTTGGGTACATGCGCAGAAAGGCCAAGAGAACGATCGTGGGCAGAAGGCCAGTGATAGATGTAGAGAACGGTTGTGTGCAGAGATAGTGTGATGACGGAGATGAAGAATGCTGTTAGTGGATAAACACTTGGTTGGCCTAGGCTATGGTAGTCGTATGTGCAACCAAGACTGGGCGTGTTTGATTAAGTATTATGACCACGGGTTCTATCACTAAGAATACAGTAGAAAGTAAGTTAAGGAGTGATACAATGTATGGACACTGGATTTTCTGTTGATTTTTATGTTATAAAAAGAACAGTGATTATTCACCTATAGATAAATTGTTGCAATCTCGAACCTGCAGCCGGAATTTGATTCTTTGCATGAGTTGAAGGTGCCATAGCCTAGCGGTGGAATTTCTCAGCAAAAGACTAATTCAGACACGACAGATAGTTACACAGTTCTGTCGCATCTGGGAGCTGCAAGAAGAAGTTCAACGTAACCTAACAAAGAACGTCACACGTCTGTCATATACATTCATATATATATATATATATGTATATATATATATATATATATATATATATATATATATATATATATATATATATATATATATATATATATATACTCCTTTACGACACGAGACAGACATACAGACATTATTGTAACAAGTTTTTTCAGGTAGCAAGACTTAAAAAAAAAACCTTTATCACCGTGTTGTCTTGATTGCTTTTTTCATTGCTTTTTTTTATAGCTCCTAGCATCTTAATAACAACTACTAATGTTATACAATAAGGATATCTTTAAACAGGTTGGAATGATTTTTTTTCATCGCTCAAACAACACTGGCAAACTTTAATATTACAACTAATTAAACAGGTGTAACAAAAAGTTGCTCCGGCGAACACTTATACAGTGAGCATGTAAATAACTTGTAATATTTTAACATTTATTACATGCACATCTAAATCACATATCACATTGTCCTGTCCACATTACGATGTGTTACCACAGGCTGCTAATCTGTCTATTGTTCAGTGGCGTCGCTAGGTCGGGTGTCACCCGGAGCGGCACTTCGCGGTGCTACCTCCCAAGAAACAAAGTATACATATATATATATATATATATATATATATATATATATATATATATATATATATATATATATATGTATATATATATGAACAGAAAAAACAAGCTGTTATTGGCTTTTATTTATTATCTGTTTATCTGTTAATAACTAATATATAACTGGCATCACAAAGGGAGTTCATCTCACTGATGCACATTAGTTGAACCATTAAAGTATAAACAGAAGTTAACATTATTAATAATTTCTATAAAAACCACATGTGGGCGACCTTCTTTTCGCAAACCACTTGTGATCAAACCCTATATATATATATATATATATATATATATATATATATATATATATATAGTTATTTAGTTATCTACGTCTTACATTTATTGTCGTTTTTGTCCCAGTCCCATCTTCTGCCTCGCACGAGAACTAAACGTTTTGGTTCATCTGCACTGAATATCCCAATCACCCGGGGACATCTGTCGCCGAATAACACGTGACTTAATCATGTAGGCAACACGTCTATGATTAAAAACTTCTCTTGATCTGTGCCCCCCCCCACCTCCCCTCCCTCCCATCCTCGTCCCTACCCTACCAACTCTTAGCCTGACCCCAGAGCTAAACTGTGGGTTTTTCTACACTGAATTTCCTTGATACATCTGTTGCTTAATATCACGTGGCAGATTCATGTAAACCTCTCTTGACCTATACCCCTCCTACCCCTCCCCCCAACTCTTAGCCCAACCCCAGAGCTACCTTATAAGTGTCTCTGCACTTTCTTTTCTCGGTACATTAGTTAGAGACTAGTATCCGCGAGACAACCATCAACCGTATTAGTTCAGTAACGTTAAGATCAAAACCAGCTTTTGTGTAGAACAATAACCTATTGTGCCTCAACCAGTTATAATTTTGATCTACTTGAGTACATTTGATAGGTGAGTTTTCTATAGACGTATCATGTATTACCACCGTCACAAGCGGGACCAACATATCGTGTGTTAACATATTAAATGATTTTTTATAACAAATTTATTTCTCTTTACCGAAAAGGAAATGTTATCTTTTTTTAAATCTTGACCTCTTTTTTGGATAACTTAACTGAAAGATTACTCAGGTTATCGTGTTACCATGGAAACAAATGACCGTTTCCGATTACTGGAAACATTTCAAAATTTTAGTAAAATTCTAAGATTATATACGAACTTACGTAAATGATAGTCAATTTTATGGGTTTTAAGACCGGAAAGTAGATTTCCTTCAGGGTACCGGAAATCGCTGAAAAAGTACAAAGTCGATATCATACTAAGATAATATGTCATTTCTTCAACATAACGGAAACGGTACTCAAGTTATTGTGTTCTTAGACACAAAGAATTTCGAACAGACACGCAGACGAAATTGCAAAACTAAGTTTTTCTGACTCAAGGAGGTGTGAAACGTAGAGAATTGTTTAAATATCGATTTAGATTTTTAGCACGATTGCAATACTTTCTCTATACTCAGTATTCAAGAAAGTAATAACTTAGCTAACTTCTAATCCATTTAGGAGTGTGTAAGAGTAGAAGAACTAACAGTGACGTTATGAACAGGCCATCATTGTTTCTAGAATTTCTCAGTTAATATTTTCACTTTTCAATATATAGATATATATATATATATATATATATATATATATATATATATATATATATATATATATATATATATATATATATATATTCTACTGCATAAAATTGATAAGTAAATTATTTCTTTAATATTTTGTTTAGGTATTGGGTTTGTTACTTATTCACATCGGCTAGTTTCCCCTTTAATGGGAGATCACTCTACTAATAACGGCATTTATACGTTACCTTGACAGTGTTGATTTTTTAAAATTTGAATTTGTGACGCACATACACTGTTGACGTCTGAAGTAGTTAAAATCAGTGATCATTTTCAAGCTGAGGCTAAACAAAATTAAAATTTATCTCCATAGGCAAATGTCGCAATAACTGGTTTCGTCTTTTTTTTTTGGAATCAAGGCAATTAACACACAAGTGTAATTTTTTCTCGGTTGTTTGTGTCATAATATTTTTGATAAATTATTTCAGATTAGTTTTACTTAAATTAATTTAACTAGTTATAAAAAAAAAACTAACGTTTCGAGAAAGTACCATTGCACTGTATAAACTCGGTGGGGAGGTTAGTCTAACACCTGGCAGTTACCTCAAACAAAAGAAGGTATACAAGGTATCCTCAGGTGAGTCTATTTGTGTAGTGTTGTATATTTCATCAGCCGGATCAATAAACAAACATTTAACTTAGTTAAGCCACACCGAATTCCCCACAAACAGCGAGTCAAACGAGAGGACGTTGTATCAAGTCGTGAGCTACTTTTTATTAATGGTGTAAATACCACCATCTGGCGTTAGTTAAAGAAACGCTAACATATAAATACCGCAACATATTAGTATACCGACAAACTGCTTTTACATTTGTCAGTAAAGTTTGATTTCAAGTTCGTTTACTTTTATTTTGTATTGTCGATCTTAAGTCTGATTGTCAATTTAGGCTTTTACTCTAGTTACATATGGAACTATTGCGCTTGCGTTGTTAGAATTACACTTAATAGATTTAAACACATAGTTTGTGTTGAAATTTAAATGTTTAGATGACAGTAATAGATAAGTTAAATGACATAAAAAGAAATAATAAAAAAATACATTTAGGGATTTACACGGAAACAAAAATTCTAATTAAAAATGAATGATTCAGATAAAATTTAGTCTACGTCAAAATAGGTTGTTAATTTGTTTATTTTAAAACATTTTTAACATTGTGTCATATCTTTACAGCAATACACGATGATCACAGTTTTACTTTTGGCGGTATCGTTAGTAGTCCAGACGACATGGTGTGCGCCCAAGGACTTCAGCGCTGCTTTGGGCAAGTCGATTTTGTTCTACGACGCCCAAAGGTAAGTTGAACATACAACAACAATTCAAGCTATGATAACTATAGTTCGAAGAGACATTACTAAAGTTAAAAAATACCGCCTAATTCGGTATTATCTGTTGTTGTAGAGAAGTTTACACATCTTATATTCTTTATCGTTAAAAATTGTGAGGCACGGTTCATTTCTTTTTGTTTAATAAAGAAACATAAGGATAACATCTAAAAGTAATGTAGAAAGTGTATATAGTTAAGTGTCACCACTATAATATCATCAACTTGCCTCTTTACTAGCTAAAACGTTGAGGGTTTAAAAATCTCCAGGTCAGGCAAACTTCCCACTAACAACCCAATTAAATGGAGGGGAGATTCCGCTCTCCGTGACTGTGTGGTGGGGGGCTGGTACGACGCTGGGGACCACGTCAAGTTTGGGCTCCCCATGGCGTCGTCGTCAACACTCTTACTGTGGTCTATGATCAGGTCAGTGTTTTGTTCATGATTACATGTAACCTTTGAGATATCTTTGTACGGTGTATTTGATATAAGTAAATACAAATCTCAATTATCAGATTGATGTAATTCAAAGCTTGAATAATTGTTAAAATATAAGTAAAATTATGTTTTGATTCACTAATTTTTAACAAATTAAAAAAAAAACTCTAGAAAGATACAAATAGCCTAAAATTAGTTGGCCAATATAAGGACAACTAGACACAGTTCACATGCTATCATTACAATCTACAATGTTACATACTGTCTTGGCCATTCAGCAACCTTGTCAAAACGCATATGGCGAAGACACCAAACATCTCCATACTTATAATTGTGTTTTAGCATTATAATTTATTTCACAAACGCCTGGAATATTCACATTAAGACATCACATACCTCAGGTTCAAGGACGGTTACGTCAAGGCCGGTCAGCTGACCCAGGCCTACGACATGATCAAGTGGCCACTGGACTATTTCCTCAAGGCCTGGAACCCAACGACCAAGCAGCTGGTCGTACAGGTGGGGGACGGTAACGCTGACCACGCCTTCTGGGGACGTCCTGAAGATATGACCATGGCGAGACCTTGTCAGAGTGTCAGTGCGTCCAACAAGGTAGGTCCAAAATTTGACCGTTAGAGTTTCCAACGACGAACCCTAAAACCAGACGTTTAGGATTTTCGACAAGGCTCGCCCTAAAGGCAACAGTTTAGAGCTTTTTACAGCACTAGATAAATTTTATATCGGTACATTTAATGATACAAACAGGTTATTCTAAAATTTTCTCTTTCAAAAGGGAAGTGACATAGCAGCTGAGACAGCCGCAGCTCTGGCAGCTGGATCTATTGTGTTTAAAGCCAAAGGTGATACAGCCTACAGTACCCAGCTCCTTACAGCAGCTCAAAGTCTTTATGCTTTTGCTAAGGCCAACAGGTAAAGATCTAACATGTACATTCACAGCCAGTACATATAAAATGTGATTATCATAATTTCACCACAGTGGCTTCACAAGTTATCAACCAGTACTGCACCCCCTTCCTATTTTGTCTAATGGCGTCGATCGATTTGTGCGTATTTTATGTTAATCCACTTATTAATTCATGTAAAAAATCATCGTTTTTACGTTGTAAATTATAAGATTTGATGTCACCCCTCCCCGGTAGTTGGTTGACTAATAAGATATTCAAAATACTTAATAAAACATTTTTTCCTCTGCTGATAGTTTTAAAATTTGCATAGTTAATAGGAAAGATGTTTATCTATAGTCAATTATTAATACAAGTGGATTAAATTTGATTAATTATTAATAAAAATGGCAAATTGCATATTTCTTCTACATATATTTTGCAATTTTCACCATGGTATCTATCCCCCCTATATGGTATCACCGGAGAGATTCGAACCCCACGCCCGTGCCTCACGACGACTCTTCACCGTAGCCATACTCACCAGTCCTACATTCTAACCTCCGCAATTACGCCACAGATTTATTCACTTGAATCACTCACTAACCGTAACTATCTCAACAGGGGAGTATTCCGGGGGTCCGCCCAGTTCTACTCGTCCAGTGGGGACAAGGACGAAATGTGTGAGGCCAGCGCCTGGCTGTACCGGGCCACCAAGAACGCCAATTACCTGAACGACGCCAAGACCTTTGTGGAGGGCACCTGGGCATGGGCCCTGGGCTGGGACGACAAAAGAGGTCAGTGAATTTGAACCGTTGTTTTCAGGAGAGTGGTAAATAATATATAGACAATGGAGAGAGTGGTGTATTTCAGTGTGGGATTCTCTAAATTATTATTGTTGTTAGAAAAGAACGTGGGAAGTTTTTCTTTGGGTATATATATATACTAAGATTTCTTATATTTTGCTCCTTTTATTTCACACTATTTCCTCACATAAAATGTTCTGCTGCTCTAGTCGCCTGCCAGCTCATACTCTATGAGGAGACAAAGAGCACCGTCTACAAGGACGCCGTGGTTGGTTTCCTGGAGAGTTGGATGCCCGGCGGTGGAATCACATACACTCCGTGTGGGTTGGCGTGGAGAGACAAATGGGGAGCCAACAGGTTGGTGTAGGGATTGGCATTTTGGATTTTTAGTATAACGGAGGAATATATTGGTATCATTAATAAAAGGGATAACAATTAGGTTTGATTGGAGATTTGGTGAACAAATTGGCATGGAGAGGCAGAGGCGTAGCGACCTTTCCCGGCGCCCGGGGAGAAACTTTCGATTTGCACCCCCGTCAAGATTTCGATTTGAACCCCCCTCAAACTTTCGATTTATTTTTCCAATCCATTTTGGCGCCCCCTAAGGTTGGCGCCAGGGGACATGTGTCCCCCCCCCCCCTCACTACGCCTCTGTGGAGACGGATGTTTAACATTTTGAAAAAAGGAGATTTGTGTGAAGTGAAGCTTGTGCAAAATTTTTGTTACTATGGGATTAGGGAAGGCTAACAGTAAATGTGCATTATATATATATATATATATATATATATATATATATATATATATATATATATATATATATATATATATATATATATATATATATATATATATATATATATATATATATATATGATGTGATAATTAAAAATTTAAACGAAATACATGTATTTCCCTCCTTTATAAAATGGGATAATGTTAAGCTAAAAGTAATAACCTACTACCGTACCGTATCGTCATTTAATGTTCATGCTTAGGACTATTATTTTTTTAATGCAGTGGGTACTAATAATTTTATCCTACTAAGAATTATTGAAAAATGTACTTAAGTTTGCTAGCCGATCGTTTCTCGTCTAGGTATGCCGGGAACACCGCCTTTGTTGCACTGTTGGCTTCAGAGGCCGGGATCAACCCCGCTAAATACCGGAAGTGGGCTGTCGAACAGATCAATTACCTCCTCGGTGACAACCACCACGACGGTGGATGTTACAGTTTCCAGATTGGATATGGATCAAAGTATCCACGTCAGCCTCACCACAGGGGCGCGTCCTGCCCTAATCGTCCCTCACCATGTGGTCAAGCACAACTGACCGCTACTGGACCAAGCCCTCAGATATTGGTCGGCGCTCTTGTGGGAGGACCTGAAGCGAATGATAACTACCGCGATGTGAGAACGGATTATGTGTTGAACGAGGTAGCAACAGATTATAACTCTGGTTTCCAAGGAGCTCTTGCAGGAATCGTCCATCTTCAAGCAATCAACAGCTTACCCGCCACAAATAACAAATGCCCATGTACTACTACTGGCAGATAAAAAAACATTATTTGTCAATTCGTTCTTTGAAAATAAAATACCAAATGGTTCTTTGAATTATTTCATAACCATAGATCACTAAGTTTTTTTTACATTGAATTTTAAGTGTTTGAAAATACATTTTGGAAATAATCTACACAAGGCACTGAGTGTGTCTTAATTGTCTTGAATATAACAAAATTTATAGAGTGTTGCATTTTTTTTCCGATAAGAGTTTTCTGAAATCTTGAGCAGGAGATGTGTACAGTGATGGAGTAGTTGAAAAGCTCACACCACTGTAGCCGAGTTCTACCCCATTCTAACCAAGCTTCACTTGTCTTCAACTGAACACCTTACCATAAAAACAACTCGTTCCTTTAAGCTACCCATCCACGCCCGTAATTTGTAGTTTAAACTTCATTTAAAAAGTATTGATAAACTGTTAAAAATGTTCAAAATAGTATTCGCGTCCCGTACCTTAACGTCCATTTGGCAATTGGAATAGAGTTCACCTGTTTCACTGACCTCGGAAAAGGAAGGTATAGTGTGGTCAACATTATGACCATCAGCTTTTACTTTCCCTAACGTAAATAAGGGTGGACTCAGACAAGTCTTTGAAGTCGAACGCAAGCTATACCACTCGGCCACGATGTCCCTCCCATATCTTAATTTCCTTTTATTTGGTGTCACCTGAAAGAGTGAACACAAACACAAGGTGACGCTTCTGGAACTTATATTAGAATCGAACAATAGAAACAAACTCAACCTTTTACTTTTTTTACAAAAATGGTTCACAATATTAATCTGCGAGGAAAAGACCCAGAAACTACGATAAATTAAAAAGTAAAATATAATCTGAACATTAAAAAGTAAATGAAAAACCGTACGATAGGTCGCTTCTACGTCTTTTCCACACCACAAGAAAACTTCGTATAATGTTAAACAATATGTGTGCTGTTGCTAAACATTAGTTATATTCTGGTCAAAATAATTTAATTTATGTTTTTGACAACAACGCTCGTAAATTATTTTTTGTATATATTAAGCATTGTATTGGCTACCCTATCTACATGGGATATTATTCACGTATGATGGGAGATTACTCTTTTAAAACTCCGAAATGCAGATTACTTTGACAAAGTTGTTTTTAAAATTTGAATTTGTGACGCACACGACAGTTTTCCCCCCATACAGTTGTCGTCTGCAATTGTTTAAAATCAGTGACATTTTTCAGCCTGAGGCTAATCAAAATGATAAAATCTAGGGCGATAGGCTGACGTCACAATAAAGAGTTCAGTAATTTTTTTTTTCATGTTGGACTTGAGACACGTAAAATACACACCGTAAAGACATCTTTGTGATTTGTATCATAAGGTTTTTGATAAATTATTTTAGTTTAGTCTTAATAAATAAAATAATTTCATAGGTATAACAAAGAAAATTTTGAGACATTTCGACGTATCGTTTTAGTACTATTACACTGTAAACCATTGAAGTGAAAATAATTCTTACTTAATGTATCAAGTATACACACGTACGCTAGTTTGTGTAGTGCTATAATATTTCTTGTTTCGGATCAGTTAAAAGAAATTTAGCCAAATCTAGCCAAACCAAATTCATCACAAACTAGCGGGTCAGCCAAGCCAGCCACATCAAAACCACAAGAAACTAACGAGTCAGCCAAGTCCAACCACACCAAAGTCACCACAAACTAGTAGATCAGGCAAGTCCAGCCACACTAAAATCAACACAAACTATTGGTAGGTCAAACGAGGGCATCAGTGTCAAGTCGTGAGATACTTGTTATCAATGGTGTAAAGACCGCCATCTGGCGTTAGCCTAAGAAACGGTAACACATAAATAAAGAAAGATATTTGTATACCGACATAATTCTAAGAGGAGATTGCACGTACTGGTTGTTTGCTAGTTCATTTGCTTGGTGTTATTATCTTGATGTGAGTTTCGGATTCTAGTTAATTTAGTTACCATAACATTAGTATTGCTAAAAGTTTTTGCACAGAATTAAACACATATTTTGTGTTGACATCTTTAGTGTTCAGATTTACTTCTTAGATAATTCAAATAAAGTTAAAAGAAAAAATTTAAAAAAAAAAATTAAAAAATTCAGTAATTTAAATGGAAACCACTTTAAAAACAGTTAAATATAAGTGACCATTTGGATGTTATAGATCAATTTCTGGGATTGTGTCATATCTTTACATAGTTACAAGATGATCACAGTTTTACTTTTGGCTGTATCGTTGGTGGTCCAGACGACATGGTGTGCGCCCAAGGACTTCAGCGCTGCTTTGGGCAAGTCCATTTTGTTCTACGACGCCCAAAGGTAAGTTGAACATAGAACAATCATTTGATCGAGAACAGGTAAATGTTTAAGGTACATTACTGAAGTAAAATCTACCATCAGGTACCATGTGTTAATTAGATTGCTTAATTATTTTTAATTCCTTAATTTAAGATAATGAAATATTTGTTTATATGTATGTTTGTTTTATGAGCAAACATACGGTTAAAAAAACTTTTACTTACGTTATATATATATATATATATATATATATATATATATATATATATATATATATATATATATATATATATATATATATATATCACTATCGTATCATAAACTTACCTGTACCCAGTAGTTCACATTGACGAATTTTTAAATTCTCCAGGTCAGGTAAACTTCCGGCCAACAACCCCATCCATTGGAGGGGAGACTCTGCCCTCCACGACTGTGTGGTGGGGGGTTGGTACGACGCTGGGGACCACGTTAAGTTTGGTCTTCCCATGTCGTCGTCGTCTACTCTCCTGCTGTGGTCTATGATCAGGTCAGTTTTCTTCCATTGTAATACGTGTCGATGTAGACAGGTTGATTTATGTTTCAATCACCACAAATCTTATTGATTAGATTCGAGAGAATCAACACAACAACAACAAACAAACAAACTAGAAACTTTTCCCGAGTCAGGAATATTCACTCTCAGACACTGCATTCATCAGGTTCAAAGACGGTTACACCAAGGCCGGTCAGCTGAACCAGGCCTACGACATGATCAAGTGGCCACTTGACTACTTCCTCCATGCCTGGAACCCATCGACCAAGCAGCTGGTCGTGCAGGTGGGGGACGGTAACGCTGACCACGCCTTCTGGGGACGTCCTGAAGACATGACCATGGCAAGACCTTGTCAGACCGTCAGTGCTTCAAACAAGGTATGTCCGAAAGCCTAACGGTTAGATCTTCCTACTAAGTATGTCCCAAATCCAAAACGTTACATCTTTTAACATGATAGGTCTTAAAACTAAACGGTTAAATCTTTAAACAAGGTAGATCTAAAGACAAACGGTTAGATCTTCCTACAAAGCATGCCCCAAAGCCAAAACGTTACATCTTTTAACTTGATGAGTCTTAAAACTAAACGCTTAAATCTTTCAACAAGGTAGGTCTAAAAACAAACGGTTAGATCTTCCTACAATGTATGTCCCAAAGCCCATAAGATACATCTTTTAACATGGTCGTTCTTAAAAGTTAACTGTTTGATCTTTTAAAAAGGTAGGAAATACTGCAACAAGAAGCCTCGTGTCTGTTATCTTAGGATTTAAGCCGTCACATGGCGTAACATTTGTATAATTTATTTTGTTTTGTTACAAGCACCTGCAAGACAAAAAGTTTCGATGTTTGGAATAGGCTAAAAATGTTTGGGGTTACGTTCAATGTCAGAGCTATGGCATGGTATTGACTCAGACGAGATAATATTAGGGTTCTAACAAAGCCAAAGTTGTATGTTTGGTGTAACGCTCGCACCGCAATTTAAATTTCAAATAGACTCTATCGACTTTCAGATACAATTTACATTATCAGAAAAATATTTAAGGTAGATATAGGTTGTTAGTATTGTAATTGACTACTAATGACGGCTACAATAGACAAATCTAAACATTCATCCAAAGCTTGTTCAACACACACATATTTTATATCTTTAACAAAACATTCTAAACTAATTTTAATTCATTTGTAACTATCACCTCTACCGTTGGAAAAACCGTTTAACTGCATCAGAAAAGCTTTTTATATCGAAGTATCCAACGATAAAATTGGTTATTCTAAAATCTTTTCTTCCAAAAGGGAAGTGACATAGCAGCTGGGACAGCCGCGGCTCTGGCAGCTGGATCTATTGTGTTTAAAGCCAAAGGTGATACGGCTTACGGCAACCAGCTCCTTTCAGCTGCTGAGAGTCTTTATGCTTTTGCTAAAGCCAACAGGTAAAGATACACCACATTCACACCACACACTTTTGATGCGAGTTTGAGAAGGCGGGAACTAAACATTCCAATTTTACCAGATACAGATTTAGTTGGGTCTCTAATTAACTGTCACTGTCTCCCCAGGGGAATATTCCATGGGTCCGCCCAGTTCTACTCGTCTAGTGCGGACAAGGACGAGATGTGTGAGGCCAGTGCCTGGCTGTACCGGGCCACCAAGAACGCCAATTACCTGAACGACGCCAAGACATTTGTGGAGGATGCCTGGGCCTGGGCACTGGGCTGGGATGACAAGAAAGGTCAGTGAATTTTATACCGGAACTTTCAAGAGAGAGGGGGAATGGTCTATCTCTTGGATGTCTTTTGGTGAGGGTAGTATTTTTCAGGGTGTATCTCTCTTGCTTTCTTGACGTACTTCGAGCAATTTTGTATTGCATTTTTTCTCTAAGATATCTTGAGGGAGATATTATTCATTGATATTTTTTCTGAGATTTCTGATATTTTATTCCTCTAATCTTCTTTTACCTTATATGCTCACATAGTCGCCTGCCAACTAATCCTGTTCGAAGAGACACACACTGCCCACTACAAGGACGCCGTGGTTGGTTTCCTGGAGAGTTGGATGCCCGGCGGTGGAATCACGTACACGCCTTGTGGGTTGGCGTGGAGAGACAAATGGGGAGCCAACAGGTTGGTACAAGTGTTGGAAAGTTCATATGGGTTGGTAGTTTCGTATAGGGGCTGACAAGAAAGTACATCATATAAGGGTGATACTGAGTCGATAGTGGACTTAGACTTTGTATGGAGACAGAGGTTAAACATCTCTGTTTGGAGAAGCTAGTGCTCTTATCGGGAAGGAGTGCTAAAATTTTAATTGAAGTGGATATTTTTGAGCTAATATATATATATTAAAATAATCTACCTTGTAGTCATAAAAGATTGATATTGGAAATACCTAATGAAAAAAGTGCAGTAGATATAAAAAATTTGGTTTTTTTTTCTAGTTTTTGCTTATTGTAGCTAGTGTTATGAAGTTGTTTTTCACCTAGGTATGCCGGAAACACCGCCTTTGTGGCACTGCTGGCTTCAGAGGCCGGGATCAACCCCGCCAAATACCGGAAGTGGGCTGTCGAACAGATCAACTACCTCCTCGGTGACAACCACCACGACGGTGGATGTTACAGTTTCCAGATTGGATATGGATCAAAGTATCCACGTCAACCTCACCACAGAGGTGCATCTTGTCCAAATCGTCCCGCTCCCTGTGGTCAAGCACAACTAACCGCCTCAGGACCAAGCCCCCAGACATTAACCGGCGCACTTGTGGGAGGACCTGAAGCGAACGATAACTACCACGATGTGAGAACGGATTACGTGTTGAACGAGGTAGCAACTGACTATAACGCTGGTTTCCAAGGAGCTCTTGCAGGAATCGTCCATCTCGAGGCTGCCAACAACTTACCCGCCACCAACAACAAATGCCCATGTACCGCTACTGGTTGATAATGCAGAAGTACTTGCCGATTCGTTTGTTGAAAAAAATAAAGTAACAAATGGTTCTCCTTATTATTCTATATTAATAAATAACCAGCTATGTGTATTGATTTTTATAATTTAAATATTTTTATAGAAATAATGTATTATACGAACAGAGTGTCTTTTTAGCGTCTTGAAGGACAGTGTGGTTTAGGGATTAAAACATTTTTTGTACGTTTAAAAAAAACTATGTTGTCCTAAGAATGAATCTAGAGGACATCACAGGAATAAGTCTAAAATGAACGCCTCAAAAAAAAAAAAAAAAAAAAAAAAAACGAAAGCAGAAAAGGCCTAGGGATACGTGGAGGGGCACGGCTGAGATGCCCTTGTTTGACTAAGGACTGTTATGGGGGACTGCCGCGAAAATTACCAGAGACCAACAAAAGTGGAAGGAGCTTTCTGTGGCGGCCCCATGTGTTGGGCACAAAAATGAAAAGATGGTGATGAGCAAGCACACTGTAGATGGTAGATCTTTGGACAAGTTCACGCCATTTGAACACATTTCTACCCCGTCACACTCAAATTCACTCGTCGTAATACAACACACGAAGATCCTATCCTAAAAACACAGTGGTTTCTCGCTCTTCTACCCACCTACATCTGTAGTGTATAGGTCAAACGAAATTTAAAGAGATTGATCATCTGCTAACAGATTAAAATAAAATAATAAATTGAAAAAAATACAGCAGCCAAGATTTATAACAAACAAACAAACAACTGATACATTTCTATGTCATCATTTTTTTTGTTTTTGTTTTTTTTTTTACTTCTATGGATTTAAGTGTTAGACTATTATCGTACTCATAGTCTAAATTTATGAGTTAAAAATTACTATTGAAAGTGTTGGGAAATAATTTTCATTTTTCAAACTGATAGTAATAATTGTCGGCATGTTCATTAAACACAATTTAAAAAAAAAAATAACAAAAATTCTAATTATTTCTGAAAATTATTTATATTTAGTCCTTTAGCACTTACTTCCCTTTGATAAATTAGGAAAACATAATTACTTCCCTTTATAAAACATTGCATTAGTGGAAAAGAATTTACTTTTTATTACTTTGTTTTGGTGTTGGGAAAAAAATAATTACATAATTAGCGGGGATTGATCAAGTGCAAATGTTGTAGGTATTTTACGAATAAGCTTGGAGTATTATAATTGTTCATTTGGTTTGGTTTGGCACCTACGTTCGTTTAAGTGAGTGCAAAAGACTATGAATAATGTTGGGGTACTATAGTCGATTATTAAGCTTAAACAGGCGATTCTGCCCCGGGCTAGACTGTGAGCACTTTGCGTTTATGTTCGCGTTAGTGTTTTCTTTGTGTTTAGGTTGGGTTTGCGTTAGTGGTTGCGTTTTGATTTGGTTCGTTTTTGTTCTTTCTTTTTTCGTTTTCGTTTGTGTTTTTTTCTTTGGGTTTGTGTTTGTATTTGTGTTTGTGTTTGGTTTTGCGTTTGGATTTGGTTTGTTTTCGTTTGCTTTTTCGTTTGTGTTTTTTTCTTTGGGTTTGTGTTTGTGGTTGGTTTTGCGTTCAGATTTGGTTTGTTTTCGTTTGCTTTTTCGTTTGTTTTTTTCTTTGTGTTCGTATGGTGTTTGTGGTTGTGGTTGGGTTTGTTGTTAGGTTTTTGTTTTCGTTTGCTTTTTTGTTTGTTTTTTCTTTGTGTTTGTATTGGTGTTTGTGGTTGTGGTTGGGTTTGTGGTTAGGTTTTTGTTTTCGTTTGTATTTGTAATTGTGTTAGCGTTATGTTTGCGTTTTGTTGTTTTGGTTGGTTGTGGTTTGGGTGGGCAATGCCGGGTTTATGATGATTACTAAACACACAGGTAATGGTCTTTAACAGAAAGGTTTTTCACAGAAGCCAGAGCAGGGACTGGCCGGGACGGCTAGTTTGCTAATAAATGCTGTGTTGGAATGTAACTTTGATACTGTATGTCTTTTCTTTATTTACATTTCAACATTGATTTCCTGAACCAACCCAAGTGGAAAATCTTTTTAATGTTGATATAATGGTTCTGTTTTCTTGGCTTAGATACTACGTCAACAAAGAGATTAAATACGTTTTACACACACATATATACACACAAACACACACTCACACACTATCACACACAGGTGCGCCCGCATACATACACACGCACACACCCAAGTATGCGCGTACTCTTACACACACAAACTCAGTCACACATGCACACACACATACGCGTATACGCAAACATACACGTTACACACAGACAGAGACAAAAGTCACATATATTATATCTCGCACCAAGTGAATAAGATCGACCACAGTCCACAAAAAGGGCGAAAACTGATAGCGAATGACAACCGTCTTATAAAATGTATATATTGAAAAATTAACAACCCTCTAAGGTTTCGTTAGGTTGTAAATTATAGCCGGAAAAATAATGTCTGTCCTTGGACATTAATTTTTAAAAACAAGGGACGGCGTGGTTTGATGTTAAAGTGATCTAACCGAAAGTCTTGATCTTGAATCCAGGTTCAAACCGGTAGAACGTCCACATGCGCTCACCTTTTCTGTTAGAATAGCATTGGAATAGATTAGTCCCCGACCTAAGACGCTGTTAATAGAAGGCATGGCCTACTAAATGTTGCTAACATAAACAACATAACTAGCAATACATGTGTATGATACGCGAGTATGGTGGGATATTGTAACAAAAGATAATCATTGAATACAACTCGAGTTGAGAGAAAATTATAACAATATGGACAAAAGAAAAAATACAAAAAATGCTGACAATAAAAGACACATAACAATAGAAGGTTGATATAGATTTCTAGTTTCTTAAAATAATCAAATACATTCTGTTAAGAAGCGATAACTGCTAAATTCTTGGACGCACCCGCACCCAGGGTGGGGTTTAGTTTGCACGTGAGCTGAGCAAGGGCAGTGGTCAGGGTAAAAAGGACCGAGTTCATCGTTTACCGGCCCTATTATCACACTAGCGACGGGTCTGTCCCGTAAGCCTTTTCGGCTTGGAAGAGTCAAAGTGTAGATCTAGCGACGGAACAGTCTAACGGTCTTAAGATTCCAGCTGACCGGGGGGGGGGGGTAGGGGCAGAAGGGAAACGAGACGGAGCATAGGTAGGAGTGGAGGCTGTAACGACGATGGCGGTAGAATAACATTACCGTTACAAACATGTCCCTTAAGATGCCGAGCTCACTGGTACAAGTGAACTCCACTTCTCCTACTCCATCGACTGTCAGGTTCAAAACTGTTCGATTTTACCTCACCGCTTTCCATCTTCACAAATCGTTACAAAGTTTTCTCCCATCCCCTCCTTAGAGTGTTAACTCATTGATGGACGACGCCTAATATGTACACATTTTGCTTAACAATAGCCCTTGTAGTCTGGCATTAGGATTTATGTTGACAAAAACTGTTGTTATTACTTATTAATTTGTATTTATTATTAGCAGCGCTGATGGATAAAATTTCATTATTCGTAACATTGAGAATTCTTCTTTATTGTTATGATAAACGTCACAAGTAGATAAACACCGCATGGACATATAGTCTGTGATCATACCTCCGCACTGTAAAACCACATGTGGAAAAAGAAAAATGATTCCACCATCAGTGTAGAAAACCTCATGTGGTTAAATCCTCACTTTTGAAATACCTACTGTGGTCAAACCCTCACTTTTGAAATGCCTACTGTGGTCAAACCCTCACTTTTGAAATGCCTACTGTGGTCAAACCCTCACTTTTGAAATGCCTACTGTGGTCAAACCCTCACTTTTGAAATACCTACTGTGGTCAAACCCTCACTTTTGAAATGCCTACTGTGGTCAAACTCACACTTTCGAAATGCCTACTGTGGTCAAACCCTCACTTTTGAAATACCTACTGTGGTCAAACCCTCACTTTTGAAATGCCTACTGTGGTCAAACCCTCACTTTTGAAATGTCTACTGTGGTCAAACTCACACTGGAAAATCGTCATGTGGTGATACCTCCGCTGTTGACAAACCACTAGTAGCCAGCCACCTATGACCAAGGCCGCAAGAATCGTTATTATACGCATATTCATGTAAACATAAACGCTAAACGTTTGTAACGTAACTTGATCAATGTTGATTGATCCTGTGCCCCCTACCGACCGCCCAACCCGACCCAAAATCAAAACATTTAGGTTCCTATACACTTTATCTTCCCGGGACCAAAGGCGTAGCGCCCGGGTTGACTATACATTTTGTGCGTGGGTCACTATATTATATATTGGATACTTTTACTAATAATATTTAGGAAGCGACCCACGCTTTTCTTTATAATAATATAAATTGTAGTGCATTATATTACTATATATTTAAAGAAACTCCTTTATTTTCTACTTTTTAGTGCACTGGTACATAAAAGGTTGTTATTAAAACGTTTTTATGATTTCTTTTCCTATGGACACATAATATGTTATCATACACGACCGCAATGAAAAACCACATGTGGAAAGAGAAATATGATTCTATCATCAGTGTAGAATAGCTCATGTGATCAAATCCTCACTTTAGAAATACCCACTATGGTCTTACCAGCACTATTGACAAACCACTAGTAGCCAGCCACCTACGCCTACAACCAAGGCCATATGAATCTTTATTATACACACATTCATATAAACATAACGCTAATCGTTTAAAACGTCACTTGATCAATATCGATTGATCCCGTGCTCCCTCCCCTCCCCATCTCGCTTTCCGTCCTCTCCTCCCGACCTCCCATCCGACCCAAGATCAAAACATATATGTTTCTCTGCACTGTATTTTCCCGGGACACCTGTTGGTGAGTATCACGTGATTTGAGTCAGCGAGATTACCATTACTAATATCGGATCAGTGTCGGTAAGATCAAGACAAATGTTTGTATAGAACAATAACCGATTGTGCTTCAGCTAGTAACAATTAATGTTTACTTTAATTCGTTTCAAAGGTGTTTTCTAGGACCAAGTTTTCTAAAGACGTTTCAAGTGTTACCGTCATTACCACTAGGTTCTTTTAGACTGTGATACAATAGACGTTTATGATATTTTCCGTTTAGGACAAAAAAAAATTAATCGTGTTCTTTTTTTCTTGACCCATGTCAAGTCCTTAATGTGGATGTTGGAAAGAAAGGAAAAAAAACTTCAACAATTTATTATAAGAAAATGGAAAAATAATTCAATAAAAAGTGTTAACAGATTTATAAACGTTTTTAATGCTTTTTGTTTGAATTAAATAAAACTATGATAGAAAATTTTCCAGAAAGTTTGCGGTTGTAAATTAACAATGTAAGGAACATTAACAAAAAAAGATGGTCTTTCTTTCAGGATATTCACCTACACGACTGACATAATATTTAAAAATCTGTCAAATTAGTTAGCGTACAGGTACAATAAATAGTGGTGACGTTAGGAACTGGCCAGCATCATTTTCACAATGTTTATACTTGGTTTTTAAATTAATTAAATTCTTAAATAGCGATTAACGTCGATAAAGGTAATTAAAACTTTAAAACCTGATGCAATTAAGCCAGGTGTGCTATCTCTTTAACGATTGGTAAGTGTGTGTTTAATAACATGTTGAATATCACTTGGTTTTTTTAAAAAATATATTTATTTTGTTAAATATTTTGTTAAAGCTACCTTTACAACATTGGATAGTTTCCCCTTTAATGGGAGATCACTCTTTTAAAACTCACAATCACCATTACGCAGGTTACCTTGACAGAATTATTTTTTTTAAATTTGAATTTGTGACGCACACGACTGTTTTCTTTCCTCATACGGTTGTCGGCTGAAATAGTTTAAAAACAATTCAGCTATCGTTTTCAGCCTGAGGCTAAACAAAATGTTAAAATGTATGGTGATAAGTTGACGTCAGAATAGTTGGTTCAGTATTCATTTATTTCTTGTTGGATTTATAACACGTAAATTACACAGCGAAAAGATATTTTTGTTATTTGTTTCTTAACGGTTTTGGAACATTCTTTTAGTCTAGACTCGATCAAGTACATTTAACTAATTGTAACTAAGAAAATTTCGAGAAAGTACTACGCATTTTACGAGCAGCACATTGTATCAACTCGAAGTGGAGGTAAGGATAACACCTGGGCCGTTTCCTCAAATAAAACACAAGATATAAGGTATACATACGTAGGTCTATTTGTGTAGTGTTATATACTTAATTAGCCAGATCAATTAACACAAATTCAGCCAAGTTCAGGCAAATCGATTTCACCACAAACCACGGGTCAACAGTAAGGATCCTGTATGACATCGTATGATACTTGTTAGTAATGGTGTAAATACCACCATCTGGTGTTAGTCAAGGAAACAGAAACATATAAATAAAAACCTTTTTTGTGTTGGCACAATTTTACGGGGTAAGTTTCATTACTGGTTGTGCGTTTGTTCCTTTACTTGGTTATATTATCTATTTATTTGACTGATTGTGAAATTTTGTTTTAACTGTAGTTTAATTAAAGCTGATTAAATTTGTGTTGCTAGAATTGTGTCCAAAGATAGAAAAATATATTTTGTGTTGAGATTATTTTTAATGTTACACACATTTCATAGATATTGTACGTTGATTAAAAAGAGAATCAGAGTTTTAAATGGAGTCCTTATTGAATGATTAATATTACACATAGTTAAAGTTAACAATAAGTGATAACATCGAAATTATCCAACATTTTTGCCATCGCTTTATTTCTTTACAGATTACCACGATGATCACAGTTTTAATTCTGACGGTGTCGCTAGTGGTGCAGGCCACATGGGGCGCCACCACGGTCCCCATCACCAACCACTGGTACGGCGGATTCCAAGGCGATCCTTGCATCTCTATCACCAAGGAGCTGAACGGCTGGAGGGCCCACCTGTTGTTCAACCAGAATGTGGACAGCATTGAGGTGTGGGTGACCTGGCCCACCAAGATCAGTCCCACCGAGTACCTCCTTGTCAACAAGGACTACAATTCGGTTCTACATGTCGGAGATAGATTCTGCTTCACCTTCCTTGGTCACGGCTTTGGCGATATTGCGCCCTATACGACCATCTACATCGAGGGGATGGACGGGCCAGGGAGCGTGACGCCTGCTCCTACCCAGGCGCCCGTGGTGACGTTAGCACCTTACAGCGGTGGTAGCACGGCAACCAAGGACTACGGTGCTGCTCTGGGAAAGTCAATTTTGTTCTACGACGCCCAGAGGTAAGATGAACATAGAACAAATACTTGATCTAGAATAGTTTATTTTACACGACTGAAGTAAACAATTCCGCCAAGCCTTGCTCATTTAACCATTTGTTAACTTTTTCATACAAAGAAACACATTTTGTTAACCTTAACTTATAGTGGATTGGATTTTTCTGACCAGCAACATACCAGTACACTTGAGTTGAAACCAACAATCTATTTTTATTCACAGGTCCGGCAAGCTACCAGCCAACAACCCCATCCCATGGAGAGGAGACTCCGCACCATACGACTGTGTGGTGGGGGGCTGGTACGACGCTGGGGACCACATCAAGTTTGGTCTGCCCATGGCGGCGTCGTCGACTCTCCTGCTGTGGTCTATGGTCAGGTCAGTTTCATTCCGTCTTTTCAAATGTCGTTTACTTAAGTAAGATATCCTGCTACTCTTACTTTAAATTCAGATTAATCCTAATCGAAATTTTCAGGTTAATCTACAAGAGAATAAAATCAAATTTTAGGTAATTTTACAAAATATATTTTAAAAAAAAAACACATTTGGATTCATTTATTTAGAACATAAATAAAAAAAAACCCACAAAAAATAAAAATCGTCATATTTTAACGGCAGCTTAGAACAAAGTCACTTATTCACATAGTCTCACAAATAGCGTAATTTTACCTGGCCAAGAACTCGCACTCTTCCTGATGTCATCTAGCAAAAACGTATAGCACGCAGAATCTAACCACACAAGTTCTTCAAATTTTTAATTTCGTCTCTACACCTTATCACTCAGGTTCCAGGATGGTTACGTCAGGGCCGGTCAGCTGACCCAAGCCTACGACATGATCAAGTGGCCACTGGACTATTTCCTCAAGGCCTGGAACCCTCAGACCCAGCAGCTGGTCGTACAGGTGGGGGACGGCGTGGCTGACCACAACTACTGGGGACGTCCTGAAGACATGAGCATGTCGAGACCTTGTCAGACCGTCAGCGCTTCCAATAAGGTAGGTCTTAAAGTCAAAACATCAGCGCTCCAACCAAGGTACAGGCTAAAACCAGACAAGTAAATCTCCCAGCAAATGAGGTAACGTTGCAATACGAAGCTTTGTTTTTGTGGACTTTTTTGATGGACAACAAACTTTCAAAGCAAAACATGTGATTCACTTAATCTAAATCAGAGTCATAATAATTATGAGGCGGTTTCGTTCTAGCGCAAAACACATGTTATTAATTAATTAATTAATTAATTAATCAAATGTCAAATAAAGCTAAATGATTTTTAGCCAATCGCATGCTTTGATGTTTCCCTCTATCTACGTTCTGGATGAGATCATTAAAAGAAATAATTGAGTTTGACTGCTTAAGTTCCGTACTAATACCACCTGAGTGATTAGAAAACGCGTTATCATTTTGATTAGGAACTCTCATATCAATCGAAGCTACCGTGAATAGTCATAGTGTTAAAGGTATTCGAAAGGCTCATTAAATATTTAAAGAATCATGCACGGTGTAATAAAAATTAATATGGTTATAAAATCCTGATTGTCTGGATTTTTTTAAACATTAAAAACATAGTCGATATATTTGACGTTTTGGTATTTTCAGTAATTAAACAGAATTTTTTTTTAAAAGGGCAAAGCAATTTGGATTTCACGTTATAATGGGACATAAAAGATGACTTCCAGCTATTTGATAGGCTAGCATAAATGTTATTATACAAAATGTAAACAAAACAAAAACACATTTAAAAAAACTTTTAATAACAAGCTTTTATGTAATAATGCACTAAAAAGTAGAAAATAAATTATACACTATTTAAATAACTATAAAGAAAAGCTTAAATCTATTCATCGCTTGCATTCTCCAATTATAGAGACAACAAACAATTATACAAGTAAGCCTTTAGCCGAAAGCTAACAGCCCATTATAACTTAATACTGTGTTTTTATAGGCCTAGATATTAAATCTAGAATCGAGTTATTCCGACATACCAACCTTCTTTATTTTAAAGCGAAACCCTGATCCATGACCTAAGTTGAAAGTTCAGTTTTGCTTCTCACACACTGTCCTTACGTTAGTAGGTGTCTAACTATATGAACGTATAATCTATTGTATTTTATTTTGAAAGGGAAGTGACATAGCAGCTGAAACAGCCGCAGCTCTGGCAGCTGGATCTATTGTCTTTAAAACCAAAGGTGACACGACGTACAGCTCCCAGCTTCTCGCAGCTGCTCAAAGTCTTTATTCTTTTGCCAAGGCAAACAGGTAAAAATCTAAAATACCACAAGTATTACTTTTAGACTTTGCTATTGAAGTTTTTTTCAAGCTCGGAGGATTGCGAACTAGTGCGAAGGGTAGTGCTACAACAAAATGAAACAAAAACATTTCCATAGGGGACATTCCGCAGGGCAACCTCTAACCCTAAATATTATTTCACAGGGGCATACACCCTCTATCGCTAAATATTATTTCACAGGGGCATACTCCATCTATCCCTAAATATTTCCACAGGGGCCTATTCGGCGGGGCCGCCCCGTTCTACTCGTCAACTGGTGACAGAGATGAGATGTGTGAGGCCAGTGCCTGGCTGTACCGGGCCACAAAGAACACCCAGTACCTTGACGACGCCAAGACCTTCGTGGATGATGCTTGGGCGTGGGCCCTAAGCTGGGACGACAAGAAAGGTCAGTCAATCAAAAAATTATGAGATTTAAGTCACTGGGAGTTGTGAGGGAATGACCTATCTGTTGAACGTGCAATAAGGGGAGGTGACTTAACTATTTTAACTCCTTGTGGAGCTTAGCGCATTAACTACAATATTCTATTTTGTCTGGTTCTCGGCTGTTGAAATGCAGCCTCAGAAGACACCTTTGTTGTCTTCAGTTCTGTCTTGGGTGCCCTCTTTTCGCTTTCCTTGGGGGTTTACACTTAGGCACCGAGCTTGAGTGACTCTTTTTCCGTGTCAAATTTGCTTCAAGGAGATATTTTTTAGGATATTCTTTCTGAGATTTTAGTTGGATGTATTTTCTGTTATTTTTTTTTTGGTCATGGAAGTTGTTTTTGAGCTGAGCGTTCATTGTACTCGTCTTTTGATTTGACACTCATTATGACTCTATGACAACTCCCAAAGAACTAATCCAAACCTATCCTACATTTAGATAAATAGGTCGGAAAAACAGCTTAGTTAAATAGTCTGGTGTCCTTGTTCAATTTATTTGTTGTTTCCAGCCTCCCTCCTCCCCTTCATTAAATATTCTTTTTTGTATATTTGACTTTTATTCACAACATAAGTCCACACCAATACTATGTTTTGTGATATAAAATCTACTGTTAGAAACAAGCTGCTAAACAACTGTAGAATCATCAGTTTGTGTGTATTATTAGCTAAAGCTTTATGTATGTCTCTGGTAGACATGTTGCCCCAATATGATATTATGTAAAAATATGTTGTGTCACATGTTGTGTGTTACTGTATTTCAAAAAGTATCATTGTTATTATATTTCCTCCAATAGAATATTTTTGGCTCTAGTCATTTGTTGAGGTGTATTTTGATGTAAAATTCTATGTCGCTCTAGTCATTTGTTAAGGCATGTTTTGATGTAAAATTCTATGTTGCTCTAGTCGCCTGCCAGTTAATCCTCTACGAAGAAACACAGAACACCGTCTACAAGAACGCCGTGGTTGGTTTCCTGGAGGGTTGGATGCCCGGTAGTGGAATCACGTATACACCGTGTGGGTTGGCATGGAGGGACAAGTGGGGCGCCAACAGGTTGGTATAGGGGTTGGCAGGTTGGTAATAGGAGTGGCATTTTGGTACAGGTGTTGAAGGATGGTATTTAAGAACAAGGGAGTAGAGTGTTGTAATTGCGAAAAGAGGGAGTGTCAGCTAAATGTGGATGGAGAGTAGGCTTAGTGGCTGATAAAGGAAATAGGGGTATCACAGATGATGTAATTTCAACTAAGTATAAGGTTTTCAGTAAAATGTGGGTGGAAAGTGGACTAACTGGCTGATAAAAAAAATAGAGGGGGGGGGGGGGGATCACAAAAGATGTAATAGTAACTAAATATAAATGGACAGAGAACTTACAAGTTATTATGTAGACGGATGACAAACTCGAATGAGGTTAAAAACCTTTCAATTGGGTAGCTAATGCTAGCATCATATAAGGGCTAACATTTATTTTACCAGTTAACACATGTATATATTACATCTAAGAATTTATAATTATTTAGTGATGAATGCAACTGGCTCATTGAATAGATATATCCTTTATTGTGTGAATTATGTTGAGCTTAAATCTTAAACCTACACCCAGTCGTCATAGGATATTCGGAAATATCAATACGTAAAAATAAAATATTGTTAAAAATTTCCTGTAGACATTACTAATTTGTTATTTCTTTTTTTGTGTGTGATTTATGGCAAATTGTATAAAATGCTATAAGCGGGTTGTTTCTCGTCTAGGTATGCCGGAAACGCTGCTTTTATGGCGCTGTTGGCTGCGGAGTCTGGGCTGAACACCGCCAAATACCGGAAGTGGGCTGTCGAACAGATCAACTACATCCTCGGCGACAACAGCCACGACGGTGGATGTTACAGTTTCCAGATTGGATATGGATCAAAGTATCCACGTCAACCTCACCACAGGGGCGCGTCTTGTCCAAACCGCCCCGCGCCATGCAGTGACGCTCAGCGGACCGCCCCAGGACCAAGCCCTCAGATTTTGGTCGGTGCCATTGTTGGCGGGCCGGAAGCGAATGATAACTACCAAGACGTCAGGACAGATTACGTGTTGAACGAGGTAGCGACGGACTATAACTCTGGTTTCCATGGAGCTCTTGCAGGAATCGCCCATCTCCAGGCAATCAACAGCTTACCTGCAACCAACAACAAATGCCCATGTACTACTAATGGTAGATAAAGTAGAACTACCTGTTGATTTGTTCTTTGAAAATAAAATAACGAATGATTCTTTGAATTATTTGTTAACCATTTTATCACCAGCTTTGTTTATTGAATGTTAGCGTTTTGAATAATTTTTGTAGAATTAATTTCATATCAAGGAACGTAATTATTAATTTCTTGAATGGCGAAATTCATTTTGGAGCTAATTTCTATATGTGTACTATTATGCTCGATCACCTCAGAATTGCGGAAAAAAATCTGAAAATCGCAAATATCGAAACTGTATCGTCTCAGCAAGAACAGATGTTTTACTTCTGTCCTGCTTAAGTAAAAGTGTATGACAACACACTGTTAATATGCGTATAATAACTGTGTTGGTATTTTATGTTGTTATTGTATGTTTGTGTGGCTTTAAAAAACAATTCATTGAATTGCTAAGAAACCCTACTGGGAAATATCTTATATAAGAAAAATACTTTTAATAATTTCACACGCAAGCACATATTGGTTATCAAGACCATCATTCATAGGTACTAATTTAAACCTTTTGTCTTCGTTAATGTGGAGAGTTACACATCAGATAATGTATAGAACAATGTATTTAGGTTACATGCAGGGAGCGCCTATGTAAAAAGAACATTTTAGTGCTTCCTCTTATGGGTTGGACATTAAGCACATATAATTATAATATATTTAGTTTTGGTACACGAAAATGCCCTATTTGTAGAAAATGGCTATACGTAAAACAATAATTTCTTTTAATTTTAAATAACGAAAGATAAAATTTAAAAAGTCGATTATTTCCACTTCTCTCTTTCGCTTTCTTTAATTATTTTTATGAAATGATACCAAATAAAATAAATACTATATTTTTATTTACAAAGGATTAGACAAACTCAACTATGGTTATCTTTCTATTAGCCGAATTAACGATAAAATAAACCACATTAGGATAAAAAGCAGCTTTTATATAGAACAATAACCTATTGCGATTCGGTTAGTTACAATGTTGGTTACTTCAGTTAGTTTTTTGTTGGTTTCATATTGACGTATCTAGATTCACCCCTCCCCCCACCGACAAACACGGTTAAACTGGTCGTATGGTAGATATATTTCATAATTGATTGTTTTATCGGTTATGATTAATACATTTATTGTCTTTTTATTTTTTATTTTAACACGAGTCAGGCCCTAAAATGATTATGTTCAAACGAGAAAAAGCAACAACCTTCAGACCCAGCAAATTAAACGTTATGCAAGTAACGAAGATAGTGAATTTATGAATAGTTTTGTTGCATTACTTTTAGTTTTAACAATTGATTAAAAAAAATCAAACTTAAAATAGCTGTTGGGTGCAAATTAATATTCATTGTTAAAGAGTTACAAATATAAAAGAAAATTTTCATTCATATTATTTTGTCGTCAACTGTCTTGCAATATAAAATCTAATCAGACTAATTTTTTAAATTAAGTATATACGTGTACAAGAAGTTAGAGTGTGTATACAGTCACATTTTTGTACACTGTGGGCTGGAACTTGCGTTCCATGTAAAACAAAACATTTTTTTTTCGTTTAATGTCAAAAAGCTATTGAAAGATAGAAGAATATTAATTTTTTTTGCTCCTGCAGTCTGCACTAAATGTAACAAAATCTACATAAAAAAAAACAGTCTCAATAAGATAAGGGATAAGTTCATATGAACTGTCAGCGCTTACGTAAAATATGTTAAACTTTGGAAGTAGATCTAAAATGTATTATGCAACACCAAGGTCGTAACAAATATAGCTTGATTTTCAACACTCCGAAAAGGAAAGAAAAAATAAATGACGTACCAAATTATACATATATATATATATATATATATATATATATATATATATATATATATATATAAGCCTTTTATATGGGTATATAATTGGATGTATTTCTCGTGTATTAGAATAAAATATTTAATACAATTTAGTTACTGTCATTCATACCTCTAATAACTTTGGATAGTTTCCCCCTGTGATGGGAGATCACTCAATTAAAACACAAAATGTTATAACACAGGTTACCTTGACAGAGTTTTCTTTTTTTCAATTTGAATTTGTGACGCACACGAACGCTTCGTCTCAAAAGTATAAAATCAGTGAGAGTTTTCAACCTGAGGCTATACAAGATGGAAAAGTTGATTCGCTGGATAGACGTCACATTAACTTTTTACAGATTTTGTTTCTTTAATCAGAGAGATGCAATGGTCTGTTCTCTGAAATAAATAAATTGGGTTTAATAAAAAAAAATGAATTTTTGTAGCAAAATGAGTTGCATGGAGATTGTTTAAGACCTTTCATTAATAAATATGAATTGAGCTGTCTGAAGACAAAATTTAAAATGCACTGAAAATAAGAAAATTAAAAAAATATTTGCTTTCTTTCATAAAAGCTTTGATCGCTCACGAAATATTTTACATAATAGCGTTCACTAGATCGACCGGCTCTACGATTGTAAACAAAAAAAAACAGACGTTGCGAAATAAGTAAAAGATTGTAAAAAATATACGGATTGATATTGTTTCTGTTATTTAAATAAGATATATTTTGGTAAACTATTTCAGATTAGTCTTAATGAAATTAACTTTATTACTCATAGGGAGAAATAGTTGAAGAAAGTTCAACGTGTTTTAAAGATCGGAGTGTAGGAAAGTCTTGCCCTTGGCTGATACCACAAAAACAGGCCTCAAAATTCAAGTTCTACACAACATAGTCCGTGCAGTGATATGTATTTCATGGAGCTCATCAAATAACATAATCTTAGCCGAGTTCAGCCACACCGAATTCACCACCAACCACTAAGTCAAAATGTGGGTCCCGTGTCAAGTCGTGTGCTAATTATTATCAATGGTGTAAATACCACCATCTGGCATTAGAAACAGATCCAGATATGTAAAAACTATTTTTTTACCAACACAATTCTAACTGGTAAGTTTTAGTACCGGCTGTGTGTTGGTTCGTTTACATGGTTACATTAACCGTTGATTAGACTGGTTGTGAATATTGTTTTTTTTCTTCTTTATAAGTTTGGGATAATTACAGTTGTGTTACTCGAATTATGTCTAGATTCGGAAGATTTATTTTGTGTAGAGATTTTTTTTTTGTTTAAAAAATGTATGGACAATTCACATGGAAGTAAAATTTTAAAAATCATAAAAAGTCTAGTCAAACGCTAAATACATAATTCAAGTCCTGCATTGTCTTTTTAAATTAATTGGTAAAATTAGAAATGAGGTATCCAAAGACAATTAAATAAATCAGTGGACTAAAAGCATACGATACAATAGGTTATATTTTCGTATTGCAAAACATTTTTTTTATTTGCAGAGTACCAAGATGATCCCAGTTTTAGTTTTGGCGGTATCGCTTGTGGTCCAGACGACCTGGGGCGCCACCACGGTCCCCATCACCAACCACTGGAATGGAGGTTTCCAGGGCGAGGCTTGTATCCCTATCACGAAGGAGCTCAACGGCTGGAAGGCGCATCTGTCCTTCAGCCAGAATGTGGACAGCATTGAGGTGTGGGCGGCCACGGCCACCAAGGTCAACCCGAGGGAGTACCTCCTGGTGAATAAGGACTACAACTCCGTCGAACACGTCGGAGATAAACTCTGCTTCACCTTCATAGGACACACTTCCGGGGATATCGTGCCCGTGACGACCATCTACATCGAAGGTATGGGCGGGCCCGGGGGTGCGACCGCTGCTCCGACCCACGCGCCGGCTGCTACGACCCACGCGACCGCCGTCACGTCACCGCCACATACAGGAGGGGGCACTGCCACCAAGGACTACGGCGCTGCTCTGGGCAAGTCCATTTTGTTCTACGACGCTCAAAGGTAAGTTTTTTTTTTATCTAGAATAACTTTACGTAGGTTTAGAACAATCTTGTAATCTAGAATATATTACTGAAGTAGCAACTTCTGTTAGGTGCTAGACGCCATATTTTTATGTTGCAGATCTATCTTACGCATTTTAAAATCTTAGTTAGCAAAAAGTGGATTGTTTTGGTTTTTAATGTTGCAACAAACATATAATTGCATTAAAAAACAACTAAGATTGTTATTTTTTATGTGTGTAATTTAGAAAGCGTTTAGACTTCAATGCCAACCCCATGTTACCATCAACTTGCACGTAAATACTATCTGACATCATATTTCACGTGCACACATTGTTGAGCACAGGGACGCTACAACTCCTCTTCATCGTACTCGGTCTTTGGCCACTCCACAAAGATGAGACCATAACATTCCGGATGCTTGTTCTTCACTTTCAAATGAACTGTTCCTTGGGAATTCAATTCTAACATTTATCTTGTGAGAGAAGACATTGTTCTTGACATCTAGATTATACGATGAGAGTTGAAAGCTTACCTGGTCTTAATGTTGCGGGATTTAATGTTGTCATCGATTCTCCAATCATTAACGTTTCTTTGGTCTCAAGTGGGAGTTTCTATTTGCTGTTAACTCTTATCAACTCTGTTCCTTCCTCTGTTCCTTTAACTCTGTCCTAATCCGATTTCTTAGAGAGTTTGCTAACTTGGACTGGTCTTTCTGTTGTCGATGTTAGAGGAGGATGATGTCCGTAACGTTGGCATTGTTGCCTCTCGTATCATCATTACTGTATTCCCTTTGTCGGGATCTTCACGACAAGAATGATTGTGTATCTCATGATTATGGTCTAGTTTGGCCACATCTATTCCATCTGGCTTTACATCGCTACTTGGCTGGATTTGTAAATTTAATTTAGAGTTTGGTAATTCCAGGTCACTATTTTTTGCTACGGTTGTCAAAAGATGTGTCTGCACTCTTGCTTTCTTTAACACATGTCAAGGGCTCCACTAGATATGGATAATACTTCTCAAGCTCTCTTTGGTTAAATGACGTTTTGTTTTCTATAACAGGTTGTTTGTTTATGGGGCAGGGTTACTACTCCTACCACAAATTCCCATTCCATTCTTTATTTGGGCGTCGAATCTGCGAACGCAACACTAGCTGAGTAGTTTGCATTAACAGTTTATTGTTATTTAAAGGTCAGGTAAACTTCCGGCTAACAACCCAATCAGATGGAGGGGAGACTCTGCCCTCCACGACTGTGTGGTGGGGGGCTGGTACGACGCTGGGGACCACGTCAAGTTTGGCCTCCCCATGGCGTCGACGTCTACGCTCCTGCTGTGGTCACTGGTCAGGTTAGTTCCTTTTATGATTATAAGTGACTTTTTGGTTATCTTATTACTGCTGAGTTTAACTCAAGTCAATACAAATTAGAATGGTAATGTTGCATTTACTAAGAAAACATGATGCCTCTTTGATGTAAAAATGTTTTAAAAATATTCTTCATTAACGGTTTTTTTATATTTATATGTCAAATCCTCTAGGGTCAACAAGCCATACACTAGACATATTTCAGTACCTTTGTTAACAAAATCACGACCCTAAGATCACCCATTCACCGGTTCACAATCTAGCTCTAACCACAACATAATCTTTAACTCTTATGTTTGTCAATACCATACAAAATTATTTTACAAATGTCTGGATAACTTACACATAGACACTGCATTCGTCAGGTTCAAGGACGGTTACACCAAGGCCGGTCAGTTGAACCAGGCCTACGACATGATCAAGTGGCCACTGGACTATTTCCTCAAGGCTTGGAACCCATCGACCAAGCAGCTGGTCGTACAGGTGGGGGACGGTAACGCTGACCACTCCTTCTGGGGACGTCCCGAAGACATGACCATGGCGAGACCTTGTCAAAGCGTCAGCGCTTCCCACAAGGTAGGTCTAGATGGCAGAACTTTCGAACAACGTTGGCATTGTTGCAAGATTACGAGCATGCAAGATTGATGATTAAGCGTATTAAGCATTAGCACCGATGTATTGCGGAGCACTAGTATAAATTGCTCTGGTTCTATACCAGGGGTCTCCAAACTACGGCCCGCGGGCCGGATGCGGCCCGCGAAGTCCTCTCATCCGGCCCGCGGAGATCTTTTCGTCCAAGGAAAAATCGTTTGTTAGTGATTTTTTGAGGAACTTTTTCCAGAAAAATCAAAGACATGCCTGGAAGAAACTGGCCCCCGAACTGAAATTTGATAGTTAATGCGGCCCTCGGACTGAAAAGTTTGGAGACCCCTGTTCTATACGAACGAATTTTTCAATGTTTGCAATAGGCTCGAAATTTGACTGGTGTTATGAATATGTTATTTTGAGCGTTGATACATGGGATAAAACTTCGATAAAAGCTAAAACTAGTTTAGTGTTAGGACAATTCTTGTTTAGAGTAAAAATCGTAGCAGTTATAGCTTATGTTTAATACAAGTATATTCAAAACTTATAGTACTTGTCGATTTACAAATAACAATGCAATAATAAACTAAATTTAGACCAAGTATTTATCTAATTCCTACATTATTTTTATATGCAATCATATGTTGTATACTAGTTTGGATATGAACATATCAATCTAAAACGTTTTCTTTCGTAAGGGAAGTGACGTAGCAGCCGAGACAGCCGCGGCTCTGGCAGCTGGATCTATTGTGTTTAAAGCCAAAGGTGATACAGCTTACAGTACCCAGCTCCTTACAGCTGCTGAAAGTCTGTATGCTTTTGCTAAAGCCAACAGGTAAGGACATAACACACCATTGATGCTGTACACAGCTAGTCAAAGACCAATAGGATAAGTTCCTGCCTATTTTAAGCAACTTAACATATCGGCTAGTGCATTAGTCGTTTCTTGGGGAGGCGGGAAGGGCAACCGACCCGGGCTCCAAACCTAGGGTTCGCTACACAGGATTAAACAAGTTAATTAACAAGTCTAGTGACATTTAAGCGCAATTTCCTTAAGTTATCTAAAAATAGCTCTTTCGTAGCGTAAATCAAGAGCAGGGTTAGTAAAACCATTGGTTAGTTAATAAAACGTTTTTTATTAAAAAAAAATTTCAGTATTTTACATGTTTTATTTACAATAGAGTTACATGACTAAAAACCATTGCGCGCCTAGCTACCGAACGTGATGTCGCAGCCATTGAACGTAATGGCGCGTGTGGTGTGGTTGGATAAAAATGCCTACTAATTCGGTCCAAATTTTAATTAATTCAAAAAAAATTTTGTGACCAAACGAAAGGATATTTTTGAAAAGTTTCTTCGGCAATATTGTTCTAAATTATGGCAGGAATCGATTGATAAATGTTTCAAGTCGCTAAATGGTCTGGTTGCCGAGATATGGGCCAAACATTTTTTCGCGGTTTTTTGGCTTTTCCGGGAAATCCAGGAAGGAATTCCGGGAATTTTTTTGGCCCACAATCATCCTCGGAGCTTGCTTAACATATTTGCTTTGGAACTAGTCCTCGATATTGCTTCGTTGAGGAGGAGATACGACTTAAAGCTGCGGACACACATTCATCCATCCATTCATCCATCCAGAAATGACGGGTTAATAAATGCAATTCTCCAGAATGGAAATAGCGCTAAAAAATTAAAAAGCTCATTTTAAGCTGCATTACAGTGAAATGGACTGTTATTGAGCAATAGGGACCGCTTTAACCTTTTTTTTAAAATCAATTGTGTGACACCAAAATAAAAACTGTTAAGAGAAATTACAGGTTAAAAGCTCCCCAACCTTTCCATGGTGCTTTTTAGCACTTGAGAATAACTATATATAAATGAAGAAGATGTTAAATCATAAATAGACAGGGCACCAAAATGGGTCTGTATGCATCTAGCTACTCCACAAGTTTTATACTGATTGGCTGACTCAGAGAATCACGGACCTAGGGGAGGCGCAACAAACTGAAATTTTAAATGGCTGATTTAAAATATTCAGACATACTAGAAAGGTGATCAGAGTTTCTTCCAGGCACCTCTTCGGGGGGGGGGGGGGGGCGAATTTTTTTTATCGCCCCCCCCCCCCCAAAACGAAATGAAATTTATATAATTTATATAGAAAATATATACTTTTAACAGTGTCCGCCCCCCCCCCCCCCCGAAGAAAGTCTACCGCCCCCCCCCCGAAAATTTCAAGTGCCCCCCCCCCCTCCCGGAGAGAAAAGTCTGGAAGAAATACTGAAAGTGATACGCATATAATAAACATAAACTTAGCAACATCCATCCTTCAACAAACTATTTATCTACGGGAACATATAGCGGGACAACTCACTAACCGACACTGCCTCTACAGGGGCATATTTAGCGGAGCTGCCCAGTTCTACTCGTCCAGTGCGGACAAGGATGAGATGTGTGAGGCCAGTGCCTGGCTGTACCGGGCCACCAAGAACAACCAGTACCTGAACGATGCCAAGACATTCGTGGAGGATGCCTGGGCGTGGGCGCTCAGTTGGGACGACAAGAAAGGTCAGTGAACTTTCATGTGAGTGTGTGGTGGTGGAAGAATGGCATCTTTAGTGGTAGAGGGGCAATTAACATGTAGTCTGAGATATTTTTTTTCTGAGCTTTTTTGAATTATTTTCTCAGGTATAAATTGTTGGAAATATTTGTAGTTAGATATTCGAGCTAAGAACGAACCCAATCCTCTCCTTGATATTTGTTAAGTCTTTAGTTTGTCGTCATTGCGCAAGACACGTTAGTTACCTATTTGGGCTGATTGCAGGTATCTGAACTCGAGACTTACGTGTTGGCCGTTATACGCCCTTACCAGTCATCCTTCTATGCCACCATATATATTTATATAACAGCTAAGGTGGAGTACTATGCCTTGTACTTCTTTAAGTGCCACAAACACAAACCAAAAATTTGCTGAAGTTTTCCCATTAAACATTTAATCGATGCCGCTTTCGGCCCTTATCTTTTTGCCATCCACTCCTCTCACTCACAAAAAAAAAAAAAATAAATAAATAAAACATCTCATTTGATAAGTAAATCTTAAGCCACTGGCTCCGTCACACTAGCTGCAACACCATATAATGATAGAAATTTTTTCATGAAACACAGTTCTTAAGTTTGTATTTAGCCACTGTATTTAGACAACGCAGTTTATCACAAGATACCTTATTAACTCACAAAACACGTTTTTCTCTTGCTGCCTGCGTTTATGAAAAACGTTTTATCGCTTCAGCTGCCTATGTCACCGTATTTCTTTAAATAAAATGTTGTTATGCTCTAACTGCTTGTTTTACAGTGTCTCCTCATGTTAAATGTTTTATTGCCCTAGCTCCGTGTGTTTCCTGACATAAAATGTGTGTATCTCTAGTCGCCTGCCAACTAATCCTGTTCGAGGAGACACACACTGCCCACTACAAGGACGCCGTGGTTGGTTTCCTGGAAGCTTGGATGCCCGGAGGTGGAATCACATACACTCCATGTGGGTTGGCGTGGAGAGACAAATGGGGCGCAAACAGGTTGGTATTTGAGTTGGCAGGCTGGAAAAAGAATCGACCCATTTTGTTAAAGGGGGGTATTTTAGTTTAAGTAAGGGAAGAGTTGTTATTACGAAAAGAAAGTGTCTGCTTAATATGGGTGGAGAGTTAGCTTATTAGCTGTTAACTGGAATAAGGGTTAACCGTCGTATGAGTTGGAATATTTTTTTATATTGCAATATTTGTCAATTTGAAAAAAAAAAAAAATCTTTTTAAAAAAAAAACAACAACTGATGAACACTAGAAGCGACGGCCCTATATGGGTCGCAAGTTTGAGGAAGAGAAGACACTGTTGAAAAACAAAAACTATTTCATCGTATTTGCTATATTTTTAGACAAAATTTAATCTGAACAACGGAACGCTAATTGAAATTAAAAACCAAGAAAGGAAGCTTAAAATAGTTGAGAGGGAAAATTTTGGACCCTTTAAAATAGACACCATGGCCCTTAATCAGTAGTATGTTATTGGCTAACAAATTTATGGTTGGATGATGGTTCACGAACATTATCATTTGTGAGATATGTAAACATTTGTAGATGATACCAGACTGGTTGTGTTCCTTATAACAGGGGATAATGTTGGTGAAACTTGGTTTGTGTTATCTATGCAACTTATGTTGTTCAAAAGCTTTAAGAAGAAGAATTCATTAAAATAAATAGTAATGGAAAAAAACAATAACTGATGTTAAGATTGTATGTATTTGGCTGAGCTTTGCTTTTTTTTTTTCGTTTGCACGAACAGCATTTGATTTTTTATTTTTCAACATATTCAACTTATAATCTTTGCTTGCTGTAGAATTTTAGTTTTTTTTTTTACTTTAGAACCATTTTTTTTCCCTAAATTTGGCGGTCTTAAAAACCGAAAGCCCAATGTGTCTGCCTGCTCAACTCACCTCTTAATCCGCCACTGTAAAATATACTAACTTTCCCGTCTAGGTATGCCGGGAACACAGCCTTTGTGGCACTGCTGGCCTCAGAGGCCGGGATCAACCCCGCCAAATACCGGAAGTGGGCTGTCGAACAGATCAACTACCTCCTCGGTGACAACCATCACGACGGTGGATGTTACAGTTTCCAGATTGGATATGGATCAAAGTATCCACGTCAACCTCACCACAGGGGCGCGTCCTGCCCAGATCGCCCCGCGCCCTGTGGTCAAGCACAGTTGAGCGCCCCAGGACCAAGCCCTCAGACATTAACTGGCGCCCTTGTGGGAGGACCTGAAGCGAACGATAACTACCAAGACGTAAGGACAGATTACGTGTTGAACGAGGTAGCAACTGATTATAACTCTGGTTTCACTGGAGCTCTTGCAGGAATCGCCCATCTTCAAGCAACCAATAACTTACCTGCAACCAATAACAAATGCCGTTGTACCGCGTCTGGAAAATAAAGTATAAATACTTGTCAATTTCGTCTTTGAAAATTAAACAGTAAACGATTCATTGATTTGTTTTGAATTAATATTTCTCTGGCTTTGTTTATTGAATTTTAGCTGTTAAAATAATGTATTCTGGTAATAATCTGAGGAATAAAAATAAAGTTCTTTTTTACAATCTTTTATTTAACGCACTTCTTCTGTCGTTAATCTGTCGTCAGTCTTGATCGAAACACTCGAGCGAAATTGCAGGCACTTCTAACTGACAGATACGGTTTGTATTTGGTAAGTGGGTCAAGACATGAAGACAATGCAACATGACATTAAATTTGACTTAATTGGTTGCCTGATTAATATTTTATGAATGAATTAGAATTTTGGCCAAAGTAGTAGGCAGTCTCATCAAACTTTTCCGCACTATTAGACACGCGTCGTCACGTTCAATAGGGCGTCATCGCGTTCAATAGGTGCGTAATTGTTTTTAGTCATGCAACTCTAGTGTAAATAAAACATGTAAGGTACTAAAAAAATATTCATAAAAAAACGTTTTAATAACAAGTTTTTATGTAATAATGCTCTAAAAAGTAGAAAATAAATTATACACTACTATTTAAATAACAATAAATAAAAGCGTGGGTCTATTCCAAATTATTAGTAAAGGTAAAGCTTGTTATTAAAACATTTTTTATGATTTTTTGAAATTATGTAGATAAATAAAGATACGCTATTTTATATAAAAAGTGCATTTTCATACCGTATATATTTTTGGATACTTTTCTCTTGGTTTGGACGTTTAACTTATAACAGTATCATATTTATGTTCGGCATTACAAAATAATTATTATTACGTACTTTTTTAATGTGATTAGCAATACAACATAAAGTAAAATGTTTTATAAAAAATAAAACGAAAAATAAAAGAATTAAAAATGTGTGCTGAATTATAAAAATAAATCGGATTATTTCCCTTCTGTTTGCACTCAGTTAATTTTTTTTTAATTGTGTTTTTTGAAATCCAAAAGTTCTAGAAAATTTAATGTTTTTACAAAGGATTACACAAGCAGAAATGAAGTACTATTTGGCTTAGCTGATTTAGTAAGATAAGAAACATCGGTTCAGAATTATTTTTTTAAAACTCAGCCTTTGTATAGACCGATAACCTATAGTGATTCAACTAGTTATAATTGCGGTTACTATAATATTTTCAAAGTGAGTTTTCGTAAACGTAACTATAGTCACCCCTATCACGATCAAGGTCAAAGAACTCGTTATGTAATATATCTAATGATTTTTATTTTCAATTTTTCCCGATTAGGTTGAGAAATTTGGTCTTAATAAATCTAAACCTGCGTCATTCGCTAAATGCATGTGTCCAACAAAAAAAAATTAAAAATAAATTTAAAAAATAAATTTAAAAAATCCTCTGGAACCACATTTTAGGTTTAGATAAGAGAAAAAAACGTAATGCAGTTAAAAAGTGATAGTAAATGTGTAAATAAGTTCAATGTTTGTAGTTTCAAAATTTCCAAATAGAAAAATCCGTAAGGTTTTCATGTTAAAATTTGCGTGTTTCTAAACCAAATCATCAATTTGATGTGGGTTTTTATTTGAAAAATTTTGTCCATGACTGATTAGGAATTTATTTTAAAAATCAAACTAATTAAACCGAATATCTGAAAATTATGATCGTATATATGTATATACGTATATACGTATATATGTATCTTTAGAGTTGTCGATAGTATGTGGACAACATTCTTTTCTCATTTTTTGTCTGATCTTTTTAAAATTAATTGAAATCTTGATTAACTTTCTAATGACGCCACTGTTAATTATAAGTGGATGTGTTTCGCTAGGTATGTGTTTCTGCACATTAAAAAAAAACACGATGTACGACAACACATTGTTAACAAAAAGGAGAGTATGTCTATTGGCACGTAATTGTACAACATATTACTTGTTTAGTCCGTGCATGCAAAATGTGTAAAAACATTTCGAATCATAATTTTTTTTTAATCTGTTGCTAACCAAAAGTAGATAGATAGAAGAGCTTTGTTTTATCTATTTGCCTACAGCTTGCACTAAATGGTAACACATTCTACATTTTAAAGAGTCTCTCATAGATAAGGGATGAGTTCTTACGAACTGACTGTGCTTTGGTCAAATCTGTTAACCATTGATAGTGGATCTCAAATTATTTAGTCAGTCGTATAGTAAGTTCAGCTTTGATTCTAACTATCTCAAAAGCACAAAAAAAAATGTTAAACACCATTAATCAAGCAAATGGAAAAGCAGAAGGCAGAGAAATGCAGTGGACACTTTGACACTAATGGTGGACTCACCGTTTAATGCCCCCATTTACTTCTTAATAATAACCTGGGTTAGACATTGTCGCTTTTTTTCTTCTACAAGTACCTATAAGTTTTTGCACCTGACTACACACACACACATATATATATATATATATATATATATATATATATATATATATATATATATATATATATATATATATATATATATATATATATATATATATATATATATACAGTTTTACCCTGAATCGAAAACTATTGTACATATTTTTCAAATACCACTCTTCTTCCTGTAAATGTACTGGGACGGCTACATTTAATAATGTTGGATAGTTTCCCCTTTAATGGGAGATCACTCTGTCAAAACACAAGCCGCCATAACGCAGGTTACCTTGACTGAGTTGTTTTTAAATTTGAATTTGTGACGCACGCGTCCTTCTCTCCCCCCCCCCCCCCCCTCACATACTGTTGCCGTCTGAAATAGTTTAAAAAGCAGAGATTATTTTCAGCCTGAGACTCACAAAGACACGAAAGTTCACTTCGCTAAATTCATATTAACTATTTCAATTACTGTTATTTTTTTCGATTGGACAACGGCTTATTTTTGTGTGAAATATACTGACGTTTTTTTTTTAAAATTACTTTGTGTTACGAAACATAGGTCTACAGGTAAACTGTTTGAGAACCACTATCTCTAAATGATAAATGAACTTAATTTTTGGCTATTAAAAAACGCAGCTTAACGACATCTTTATTATTTAAATAAGAGGAATTTAGGTAAATTTTAAAATTTAGTCTTAGTTAAACTAATTTTACTAATACTAATCAGAAAAGTTTCGAGAAAGTTTAATTTGATTATCGCGCTGTATAAAATGGAGTATATAAATTCTAACACATTCCCGATACAACAAACACTTTGCAAGCTTTCTACATGTAATTCTGTGCAGTGCTGTAGGATTTCATGGGACTGGAAGAAGTTCAGCAGAGTTCAGCCAAACCACATCAATCAAGGGGTCAACCTTGTGGATCCCGTGTCAAGTCGTGTGCTAATTACTATCAACGGTGTAAATATTACCATCTGGTGTTGGACTACGAAACTGACACAGATATAAAAAACACATTTTAGGACAGTCATAATTCTAGTTGTGTTTCAGTAAGTTGCCTACTGTTTGTATATTAGTCCGTTCGTTTTATTATCTATTCAGTGAATTATTGTGAATTTTTGTATTGATTCTTGTTAAGTGAGAGAATATTACATTTATTTCTAGATTTGTTTTCCTTCAGTTTAAACACAATTTAAACATTAACATTTTCGTTGTTTAGACATTTTATATCTTAACTAACCCACGTAAAATTATTGTAAATAATTAAAATTAAAATATCCGAGGAAATGCTCTTGACATATTATTATTCATTTCAGTAATTCTTTAAATATTTAATTTCTTTTTTTAAAATAAAAAAAAAGAATTTGTTAAAAATACAAAAAAATTACATAATCATTGTTATCACTTATGTTAAATGAAAGTTTCATTTGTAAACAGGTTTTTTTTAACGATAAAAAGTTTTAAATTGCATAAAATATTGTGTTATTTTTACACAGGTCAACAAGATGATCCCAGTTTTAGTTTTGTTGGTATCGCTTGTGGTCCAGACGACCTGGGGCGCCACCACGGTCCCCATCACCAACCACTGGAGCGGCGGGTTCCAGGGCGAGGCGTGCATCCCCATCACGAAGGAGCTCAACGGCTGGAAGGCGCATCTTTTGTTCAGCGAGGACGTGGACAGCCTTGAGGTGTGGGCGGCCACGGCCACCAAAGTCACCCCAAGGGAGTTCGTCTTGGTCAACAAGGACTACAACTCCGTAGAGCACGTCGGTGATAAACTCTGCTTCACCTTCCTCGGCCACGGCACCGGCGACATCGTGCCCACAACGACAATCTACATCGAGGGGATGGACGACGCCGGGGGTGTGACGTCGGCTCCTGGGGTGACCCAGGCCCCAGTGGTGACCTCCCCACCCAACACCGGAGGGGGCACCTCCAACAAGGACTACGGCGCTGCTCTGGGCAAGTCTATTTTGTTCTACGACGCCCAAAGGTAAGTTGAACATGGAACAATACTTCGATCTAAAATAGCTTTACGTGAGCACAGAACGATAATTCAATCTCAAATATCTTAACGTGGACATCGAACAATAATTAGATCTAAAATAGCTTAACATTAAACATAAAACATTTATTTAAGCAAGAAAAACTGTACATGGGTATAAAGCTTTTATTTGAGTCCGAATGACTTTAGACTAACAAAACAATATTATGATCAAGAATAACTATATCGCTAATGTACTACAAGTACTGCTAAATGCGGGTCGTCCTATTCTTTGTTGATCAATTTTTTATTTAAATTTTAGATTCTCATTATTATACACAGGTTTGGTTTATTTCTGCTCTTTTAAACAAATGTGACTTTAGTTTTTCATGTATGTCTCTGTAACTCACAACGTGTACAGAATTCAGTACCGTAAGCACCATACTAGGGAGTGTATTATTATTAAAATTAAATATATATAATTCTCTTCTTCGAGCCGTTAGAAAACAAGCTGCAAACGCTCTCCCTACCTCCCCACCCCTACATGGTTTTAGTGAGCTGTGTTCACTCTAAATGTTTACGAGCAGAGCCAACGATTTTAAACGTAGGGGGGGGGGAGGGGGGGGGGGGGGAAAGGAAGGGGGGGGGGGGGGGTTATGGTCCTTAACGAGCTACTTATAGTGTTTTAAAGAAATATTTTCAGTGTCAGCGTTGGTACTGTCGAATTCACAAATTATGAATTATTGAAAATTAGAAACAACTAAATAGCGGCGTATGTTATGCCGCGGGCCGGCTCGTTAAAATTAAATGGCAAGTTAAGGTATAAAACACAAATCTGTAGGAGGTGCGTTGAAACGAAACAATTGTAAGGTAAATCATGGAGAGGAAATTACCATGGATTGTTGGACACACGCTTAGAAAAAGCGCCCCATAATAGAGCCAGATAAGTCTTGGAGTGGAATTCTCAGGGCAAGAGACCCAAGGGTCAACTAATGAAGACATGGCGACGTAACATGCTGGAAGAGGCTGAAAGGACGGGAAGGAATTGGGAACAGTTGAAACAAGTGGCAGGAGACCGTGGGGATTGGAAAGATTTGGCAGAGACCCTATGTTCCTCAAGGAGCGGAAAGGAAAAAAATGATGATGATGAAGCACCATACTTTCAGCTTGTTCTAACACACTCACACCAACAGTTTATTTTCATCTACAGGTCAGGAAAGCTCCCTGCTAACAACCCCATCCCATGGAGGGGAGACTCCGCCGTCAACGACTGCGTCCCGGGGGGTTGGTACGACGCTGGGGACCACGTCAAGTTTGGGCTGCCTATGGCGTCGACTTCCACTGTCCTCTTGTGGTCCCTGGTCAGGTCAGTTTCTTTACATGAAAATTATTGACGTTTTAGAAATATTTGTACTGGTGGGTTACATTTAATTCGTTGTAAACCTACGGGGAAAAGCTTAACTGATGATAATATTGAAAAATAATGAAAAAAAAATTGTATTGATTTTTTTTAATCATAAAAATAAAACTCACAGGTTAATTTGTCACAAAGTCACAAAGTCACAAACACCCACTGGTCACTTAAACATGTTGTCGATTGCCATAGTTGTAAAAAGCACACATAAATTTAACTTAGTTGTATTGTCACAAACTTTCTAAGGTCAGTTATCCACAGTCAATCGACTTAAAGTCAGCTAGCTACACAGTAAAAATTCGTCTACCCACCAAGTTACATAACGTACCCTCCACTCGTGGTATCATTCATCTCAACACAAATGATTTCACAAACGTCTAAAACATTCATAACTAGTCGTCCCGTCTCTCAGGTTCCAGGACGGGTACGAGAAGGCCGGGCAGCTGGACATGATGTACGACATGATCAAGTGGCCACTGGACTACTTCCTCAAGGCCTGGAACCCACAGTCCAAGGAGCTGGTCGTGCAGGTGGGGGACGGCGGGGCTGACCACTCCTTCTGGGGACGTCCTGAAGACATGACCATGGCCAGACCTTGTCAGACCGTCAGCTCTTCCAACAAGGTAGGTCCTTACATCAGACCGTAATCGATTAGGATATTGAGCCTTTACATCGCGGAGCAATAGAATAGTTTATTTTTGTGTGTTGCGAATGGTGGCATGAAAAAGTTTACTATTATATGAAGTTATGGTCAGGGCTGTGGCGTAGCGAGGGAGGGGGGGGGGGCAGCGGTTGCGGGCCGCACCGCACCGGGTGACATCATTTAGTAGGGTGACACCAAGCAAAAAGTAGCAAAATATGTAGAGAAAAATGATAATTCCACTTAATTAAGTGATTAATTCGAGTGTTAAATAGTCTTTTAAGAGGTGCAAATCGAAAGTTTGAGGGGGGATGCAAATCGAAAGTTTGAAGGGGGATGCAAATCGAAAGTTTGAGGAGGTGGGGAGCAAATGAAAATTTTGAGGGGGGTGCAAATCGAAAATTGAAAGTTTGTCCCCGGGAAGGGTCGCTAAGCCTCTGGGGGGGGGGTGACACACGACCTCGAAACGCCACTGGGTCAGGGCTAGATCTAACACTACGGAAAGGATTTGGGCGAAGTCTAAATTCATCAGTGTTAGTCAGGGTTCTGTTTAAGGATAGGCTTAGGTTTAAAGTAGCAATAGGAACAAAACAAAAATGATAATTTAGACACATTCGACGTGCATTTAAAACGTATATTATACTTGACTTTATGTCTAGCTTCGCGTAGGTAATCGAAAATAATTATGCTTAAAATCTCACCTTTTAGGTAAAAAATAATAATTAATTAATTAAAAACGTAACAGTTAACACTAAATGTTACACAAAAAACTTTTGAATGCAGTATTTTGTAATCATTAAGCAAGAGAACTCTTGTTTTTGTTACATTGATGACGTAACCGATTTCTCGATTTCTGTGAAATGTGTGGTCGACGATGTGGGCTCGACAGCTTAATCAACACATCTAGTTACACATAGGCTGAACAAATCCTCTATGGTTCTTTTTAATGTGATTTCCAAGTTGTTTTGTTTGCTTTTTTGTTTGTTAAAGGAGCACAATATTTCTATATTCCATGGGGTTTCAGTCTAGGATCTGTTACAGGTTCATGAGGTGTTGTCGATATTTTAAAAAATGAGTAGGTTTATATAATTAGGGGAACATGCGCAATTATTATTCTAATACTAAAGGCATTAAATTTCCACATATACTGAGACTATATACAGGGACCGTATGGTCTATGCAGAAGATTAACCCCGCGTTCGTCGTAGAAGTAGTCAGTTAAAAAGGCATTTCGACATTTTCCTAAGTGGCCAGAATTTGTATACGTTTTTATTTCGATTAGTATGTTTTTCGTTAATTTGTTTGTTTGCTTGTTTGTCGGATGTGGCAAATCTTTTAACCCACTTCAAATGCTGCGATTTGTTCAAACCTTCTTTCATCGCCGATGATTATGCAAGAGTATCTATTTTTTAATCGTACTAGTACTAAAATTTATTTAATCCTAAAATTATGTTACCTTTAATGATACATTTAATACGATTTTTTGTTTACCTAAGTATGACCCTCAACCTTCAGTTCAAAACATTGTTAATGATACATTTAATACGATTTTTTTCCCCTAAGTGTAAACCTAAACCTTAGTTCAAAAGAAACATTATACATTTACCTGTTAACATGTTTATATCGGTATATCTAATGATACAAAAAGATCATTCTAAAATTTTCTCTTTCAAAAGGGAAGTGACATAGCAGCTGAGACAGCCGCAGCTCTGGCAGCTGGATCTATTGCCTTTAAAACCAAAGGAGACACCGCTTACAGCTCCCAGCTTCTTGCAGCTGCTGAAAGTCTTTATGCTTTTGCCAAGGCTAACAGGTAAGTATTTACCTGGTTTACATCACAAACTTTACATACAGGTATGTCTAAGGACATTAGGTAAGGATTTAATACACACACTCCATAGATATTACATGCAAGCTAGTCTAGTCATGTAATCAGATATGTATGTAATAAATACAAACACGTATTTTTAATAAGTGTACAGGTATGATTAATTTAAATTATTAAAATTTATTTTGTTACTTCCCATATCTTATTTTTGAATTAACAAGGGGATACAACCTATTACTTTGTTCCCAAAAGTCGTTACAAAAACAAAGACATTCAATACTAATATCAACAATTACATGTCATTACTGTATACAACAAATATTTGCTTTTAAATGATTATTTGTCTTTACCTTTTAATTGCATGCATTTTCTAATTATCAAAAAGAGTATACTTTGAATACAAAAGCCAACTAGATGTTAAATAGCTAATTTAGTATCATGTAAAAAAAAATTTGTTAATCAGTGGCGTTGCGATGATATTGCATCAATCCTTTATTTTATAATTTAACTACTAACTATGTACTGTTCACGCAGTACATATAATTTATAATTTAACTAGCCATGGGTAACCATCTCACATGGATTATAGACCTATATATTTTTAATGTTGTAATTGTTTAGAAATATAATTATAAATAATATTTTTAATGAAAGTAATTTTTTTTATATATTTAAAGTAATCGCAGATTTATTATATATATTTTTAAAATTATTTTATATTTAATAATAATTGTATTATTTTCTTCTTTTTAGTGCATTTATAAAAGCTTGTAATTATAAGCGTTTTAATATATTTATTATTTTTTATACTTTTTAGTATTAACGAGTTATACGCATGTTAAGATAATATAGCGTAGCAGCAAATATATGATACACAATTTGAAAAACAGTTTTGCTACAATAATAATATGATTATATTTACTATACGTGTCACATTTACTGATGTTTTAGTTACCATCAAAAAATTGCCACAATTAGCTGAACACATTTCATAGAACAAAAATCTTTAATACTTCCTTAACCGAAGACATTAATACTGTTCAGTCTTTGGTCAAGTTTATAGCTAAAGTTTGAGTTGACTTAAGGTGTTCTTCAGTCTATTTAACTCCGACAAAGCTTCGTTGTTGCAGGGTGTCTTGCTGGTTGAGACGCCCACGTCCGTAGAGTGGTTATACAATGAGACGATGCTGGGCTGATGCGATGGCGAACAATGACGTAACATTCAGTCGCTGGGAACTTCTAGCGATTAATTTAAATAGTGCATCATCATCGCGCGCCTATTGCACGTGATGACGCGCTTTTGACGTAGAGCGCCCTCGCTCCACGCCCAACCAGGCCGTGATGACGCGTGTGGATAGAACTGCTTACTAATTCGGTCCAAATTTTAATTAATTCATAAAAAATTAATTAGGCGACCAGTTAAGTCAAATTAAATGTCACGATGCATTGTCTTCATGTCTTGACCCACGTACCAATTACGAATGGTATCTGTTAGTTAGAAGTGCCTGCAATTTAACACGACCGTTTCGATCTAGACAGACAGACAGACAGACGGACAGACAGACGGACAGACAGACAGACAGACAGACAGACAGACAGACAGACAGACAGACAGACAGACAGACAGACCGACCGACAGACAGACAGACAGACAGACAGACAGACAGACAGACAGACAGACAGACAGACAGACAGACAGACAGACAGACAGACAGACAGACAGACAGACAGACAGACAGACAGACAGACAGACAGACAGACAGACAGACAGACAGACAGACAGACAGACAGACAGACAGACAGACAGACAGACAGACAGACAGACAGACAGACAGACAGACAGACAGACAGACAGACAGACAGACAGACAGACAGACAGACAGACAGACAGACAGACAGACAGACAGACAGACAGACAGACAGACAGACAGACAGACAGACAGACAGACAGACAGACAGACAGACAGACAGACAGACAGACAGACAGACAGACAGACAGACAGACAGACAGACAGACAGACAGACTGACTGACTGACTGACTGACTGACTGACTGACTGACTGACTGACTGACTGACGAAGAAGCAAGTTAAATAAAAGCTTGTAAAAAGTTATTGCTCAAAAAGCAATGTGCTTTACTACACATTGAACGATATTGGTTAAGAGACTTAAATTATTCCGTTAAAAACCTTACTCTTCAATGGTATTTATTTTGTTTTAGTAATTTGTTTTTTTTTTTGTCCGAGAAAATTATAAAAGTAGCAGATATTCATTCAGAGCGTGGTTGCTACACGTTTTTTTTTCGATTTGAATTATATCGAGGCGAAAGTATGAAATGTTTGCATGAACACTGGACTGGTCTAAAACTTGTGATGATTTAACACAATGATTCAGGCTTTACTTTTCAGGCTATCCCAGCGGTTCTCAAATTAGGAGACCCGAGAAAATCTAGAAACTATTAATCTATTTCCCCAGGGATATGGTCTCTCACTAACCATATGTGTCTCCCCAGGGGTATATTCAGCGGGGCCACCCAGTTCTATGGGTCCAGTGGGGACAAGGACGAGATGTGTGAGGCCAGTGCCTGGCTGTACCGGGCCACCAAGAACAACCAGTACCTTGACGACGCCAAGACCTTCGTGGAGGACGCATGGGCGTGGGCGCTAAGTTGGGATGACAAGAAAGGTCAGTGAATTTTGAACCGTGATGTTTGGGGGGGGGGGGGGGCTGAATGGTCTATCTATCAGAAGGCGGGTTAAGGTGAGATTACATATTTATGAGCGGGGGTTTCTTGTTTTATTTAAGTAGTGTGGAAAATTTCGTCTGCGACATTTTGTCTTAAATACTCACTTTTTCTTCTTCTTCGTTCTCAATCGTTATGTTTTATGTCTTCCTCTTCTTCGTTCCTAATTCTTAGTGTTGAAAGGATCGGGCCAGAGGGTTCGAACTCGAGACTTTTTCGAATTCAACAACCATGAGCCTCGCCGACTCGACCACGCCTTCAACACAATTAAGGATACGTGTCAACTGGCTATGCGCCATTGAGGCCATTGACTCTGATTTCAGCCTGCTTTTCTTTTTAGATTTGCTTCCATAGCCTTTGTCCAACCCACGAACTAACTACAAGGCATCAGTTGTTTGATTTTGGAGTTGTCTCCCCTAGATGGGTTTAATGTCCCCAGCTAACGTTACCGGGCCTCATCTATCTTTAGGTTCGAACTCGGAACTTTTGGTTAACCAACCTTGAGCTTTACCGACCCGACCACACCGACCCCAAGTTAGATACGAGTTATTTTTTCTTGAGTTGTGTTTCTGATATGTATTATACCGTATTCCCTCTTATATGTTGCCTAGCACAAATGATCTTTTAATACCGTATTTACTAACATAAAATGTTATGTATCTCCAGTTGCCTGTCAGGAGATCTTGTATGAGGAGACACAGAACAGCCACTACAAGGACGCAGTGGTTGGTTTCCTGGAGGGTTGGATGCCCAGTGGTGGAATCACGTATACACCCTGTGGGTTGGCATGGAGGGACAAGTGGGGAGCCAACAGGTTGGTATACTGGTTGGCAGGTTGGTATAGGGGGTTGTCAGGCTTGTATAGGGGTTAGTAGAATGGTAGAGTTGCTGATTATGCGAATCAAGGGTTATAAGACAAATATGGTTGTAGGGTTGTATCATTTGCTGGTGTGGGGAATGGCGGGTTAAATAAATGGTTAGGGTAAGAAAGGCTAACATCTTGGTATTGTGGAGGGTGGGGGCTAACTTATTGGTATTGTGGAGGGAGGGCTAACATATTGGTATTGTGGAGGGAGGGCTGACATCTTGGTATTGTGGAGGGAGGAAGGGCTAACATCTTGGTATTGTGGAGGAAGGGCTAACATCTTGGTATTGTGGAGGGAGGGCTAACATCTTGGTATTGTGGAGGGAGGGCTAACATATTGGTATTGTGGAGGGAGGAAGGGCTAACATCTTGGTATTGTGGAGGGAGGGCTAACATCTTGGTATTGTGGAGAAAGGGCTGACATCTTGGTATTGTGGAGGGAGGGCTAACATATTGGTATTGTGGAGGGAGGGCTAACATATTGGTATTGTGGAGGGAGGGCTAACATTTTGGTATTGTGGAGGGAGGGCTAACATTTTGGTATTGTGGAGGGAGGAAGGGCTAACATCTTGGTATTGTGGAGGAAGGGCTAACATCTTGGTATTGTGGAGGGAGGGCTAACATCTTGGTATTGTGGAGGGAGGGCTAACATCTTGGTATTGTGGAGGAAGGGCTGACATCTTGGTATTGTGGAGGGAGGGCTAACATATTGGTATTGTGGAGGGAGGGCTAACATCTTGGTATTGTGGAGGGAGGGCTAACATCTTGGTATTGTGGAGGGAGGGCTAACATTTTGGTATTGTGGAGGGAGGGCTAACATATTGGTATTGTGGAGGGAGGGCTAACATCTTGGTATTGTGGAGGGAGGGCTAACATTTTGGTATTGTGGAGGGAGGGCTAACATTTTGGTATTGTGGAGGGAGGGCTAACATATTGGTATTGTGGAGGGAGGGCTAACATATTGGTATTGTGGAGGGAGGGCTAACATATTGGTATTGTGGAGGGAGGGCTAACATCTTGGTATTGTGGAGGGAGGGGTAACATCTTGGTATTGTGGAGGGAGGGCTAACATATTGGTATTGTGGAGGGAGGGCTAACATATTGGTATTGTGGAGGGAGGGCTAACATATTGGTATTGTGGAGGGAGGGCTAACATCTTGGTATCGTGGAGGGAGGGCTAACATCTTGGTATGGGAGATAGAGGGTTAACCTCGATGTTTTTAAAAGAAGACAACAATCATGTTTGTGATATGAAACATAATAGTATTCACTTTCAGCTGTTTATTTGTCAAGTTGCTGTCAAAATATTCTCCGTATGGGTATTCTTAATTTCTATTCCACATATTTTACAATGTGTATTAGAAATCAGAATCGGTAGTTACTCACCAATAAATGCACTTTATTCCCCAAAAAGAAGGTATTTTTATTGTAGAGGGGAATAATGCTGAGCTAAAATATTGACTGTCCAACCTATCCTTATAGAATATTCACAGATGTAAATACGTAAAATGAATTATGAAAAACGCAGTGGATATCAATAACTGAGTTCTTCCGTGAGTTATAGAAATTTGTAGTTGATGGAATTTTTAGAAACGTGTAAATATTTTAGTTGCGATTATTCTATAAGGAAGATTGATGTTCTAACAGAACTATGTAAATTTGACAATGTTATGAGCGGGTTGTTTCTCTTCAAGGTATGCCGGGAACACCGCTTTTGTTGCTCTGCTGGCTGCGGAGGCTGGAATCAACACTGCCAAATACCGACAGTGGGCTGTCGAGCAGATCAACTACATCCTCGGTGACAACCATCACGACGGTGGATGTTACAGTTTCCAGATTGGATATGGATCAAAGTATCCACGTCAACCTCACCACAGGGGGGCGTCTTGTCCTGATCGTCCCGCGCCCTGTGGTCAAGAACAGCTGAGCGCCCCAGGACCAAGTCCTCAGACTTTAACCGGCGCCCTTGTGGGTGGACCTGAAGCCAACGATAACTACCAAGACGTGAGAACGGATTATGTGTTGAACGAGGTAGCAACAGATTATAACTCTGGTTTCCATGGAGCTCTTGCAGGAATCGTCCATCTCCAGGCAACCAACAACTTCCCTGCAACCAACAACAAATGTCCATGTGCTGGGAAATAGACATAATTGTCCACTTGCTATTTGAAAATAAAATTCATTTCTGTCAGTGTATTGCTTTTTACACTCTTTTTACTTTCTCGTATATACGAAGTATAGAGAAAGTCTTGTAATCGTGCAAAAAAAAAAATCGAGATTTTTACAAGTCTCGACGTTTTACACCTCACTGATACGGAAAAACATAATTTTGCAATCTTGTCCTTATGTCTGTGTGTCTGTGTGTCTGTGTCTGTCTGTCTGTCTGTGTGTAAACATGATAACTTGAGTACCGTTACAGCTAGGTTGATGAATTTCATATATAAGTATTTTATCAAAATCGTAGATCCCTATCAACTTTTGAGCGATTTCCGATATCCGCAAGTAGTACTTTTTCTACTTTGAATTTTTCAAAAGCCTATAACTTGAGTACTATTTGAGATAGATAAATGAAATTTGACAAGTAAGTAAAAGATCTAATTCTCTACCTTCTATCAAATTTTGAGTAATTTCCGTTGACCGAAAGTAGTAATTTACGCTATTTCCGATTTCTCAAAAAACGCATGTAAATTTATAAAGTACTAATAATATTGAGCACTATTATGCACATTTTGTTTTGGCGTTCGCTTTATACGCATTTCTTTTTCTACTAGATTTTATTCTATTTTAAAAAGTTTAAGTAAACAAAAATCATTTCTATATTCCGAGTTTCCATCCCACGTAGTGTTATATTAGAATATTCGATAGAGTTTAGGGGAGATCACTCCCGGTTTATTTACTATAGATTCGTTAGTTTGGTTAAAATATGATATCGTGGAAGTTTCGTTTTTTTTTCACAAATAGGGACAGTGGGTGGTAAAAAGATTAGGAAATTTTTTTTTCACCAATTATACATACTATTATAAATAAACGGGAGGGTGTGGCGAAAAATTTAAAGTTCGCCACGGGTAACTGAATGGGTTGTTGTGCCACTGGTCACATCCGCGTCGCTGCTGATTGGTTGTTTGTAAAATTTTAATGACGTCAATGTAAATGAGGGCAGTGGAGCGCAGACAACGCCTGGTTGATTCACCAGAGGGCGCTGTTAAAATATGAGTGTGCTCAATCAGGTGTGACGGCGGAGGTCTGAACCATCAAATGCTGCGACAACAATTAGCACGTGATGCGTGCAACAGCGATGATAGGCCTAGGGCAGACATGAAAAGGAATTGAGATCAGTATCGGAAAAAAATACACGCCAATATCGATGTTTGTTGTTGTCATGGCTAGACGTATTGTTATAGCAACAAAAGCCCAGACCGTATGAGATGTCTAAATATCAGACGTGGTTAAACGTACCCAATTTAAAATGTACGGGTTTTTTCTCATCGTTTGTAAATATTTCTAGCTCAGAGGCAGTGGCGTAGCTACCGTAAAGCTAGCGTAAGCAAGGCATAGGGGCCTAAGGCAAATAGGGGCCCTTTTTCGAAAGTTTGAGGGGGGTGTAAATCGAAAGTTAGAGGGGGGGGGGGAGGGTGCAAATCGAAAGTCTAGGGGGGTGCAAATCGAAAGTTTGTCCCCGGTCGCAGGGAAGGGTCGCTACGCCTCTGAGGGGGCCCACTAACACTTTTTGCATAGGGGCCCAAAAATCCTAGCTACGCCACTGCTCAGAGGTTAGGTCAGGTTAAGGCACCTGTCTCGGGCAGATGGGCCTCGTTAGCAAGGGACAGCCACTCTTATAGGAGTGCCTTGTAGTTTGTTTTTAGTTGGACAAAGGCAATGGAAGCAAATCCAAAAAGAAATGGGCCTCAATGGCGCATAACCAGTTGACACGTGTACTTAATTGTGTTGGAGGGGATCATTTCCAACTTTATAATTAAGACCGAAGAAGAAGAAGAAAGACAGCTGTTTCGGAACATTTTTGTCACTGCGGTTCAATTTAAAAACAATTTCGTTACAGCGCTACCTTTAAAATACCAAAAGTCCAGTTGTCCCCCTTTCGTACCACTTTTGTTTGGGGCCCATACTAAACATACTAATTTAACATTATAGAACAACAAAGTTGGAATAAATAGAGGCTCTTTGTGTAGACGGTACAATATCTATGTAGGTGTGTTTAGGTGAACGTCGGATGTGTATGGGGAGCTCGTGTGTGTGTTTGTCTACTGATCGCCAGTAATCATCGTAAACTTAGACTCAGATCAATAAACACATTTTAGTTATATTAAAATATTTTGGTACATTTTTAATCTACAGACTAATTGATTTCATTATACCAGAAGGGGTCGGCGTGGTCGAGTTGGTAGAGATCATGGTTGATAAACCGAAAAGTCTCGAGTTCGAACCCCCGCGCAGATGAGGCTCGTTAGCTGGGGACAGCCACTCTTGTAGGAGAGACAACTCCAAAATCAAACAACTGCTGCCTTGTAGTTTGTTCTTGGTTGGACAAAGGCTATGGAAGCAAATCCAAAAAGAAAAGCAGGCTGAAATCGGAGTCGATGGCCTCAATGGCGCATAACCAGTTGACACGTATCCTTACTTATGATTGAGCCGTGGTCGAGTCGGCAAAAGCTCAATGTTGATAAATTCGAAAAAAGAAAATCTCGAGTTCAAATCCTCTGGAAGATAAGGCTTGATCCCTTCCAACACTAAAAATTAAGAACGAAGAAGAAGAAGATGCCACTTCAGATTGATAACATTAGTAGGCTTAGGTTTTTGTAAAAATAAATTGATGAGTATTGATAGAGACACGAATAATGATAGAGAATGAGTTCTGTTAACTGTTTTAGTGATAATATTCCCAATCAAACAGAGTACAAATCATTATGCTCGTATAAGCTGACAGTGGCGTAGCGAGGTCGGGTGTCACCCGGTGCGGCACTTGATGATGTGGCCCCCTCAGAGGCGTAGCGACTCTTCCCGGTGACAAATTTACGATTTGCACCCCCCACCTCGAACTTTTGATTTGCACCCCATCCCCCCAAACTTTCGATTCGCCCCCCCCCCCCTCAAATTTTTCTCTATATATTTTACTATTTTTTGCCTTGGTGTCACCCCCCTAAAATGGTGTCACCCGGTGCGGTCCGCACCCCCGCCCCACCCCCCCTCGCTACGTCTCTGCAAGCTGGGAATAATAGTTCCCAAGCATGGTCATATGTCAGTAAAATAGTCTCCGATAAAGAGATATTTTAGCAACAAAAAAAATATATCTTTCTCGAGTGGTTTAATACTCAAAAATGATACAGCAAATGCTAAGTTTATGAGGCACGGGCTTATAATTGGTGCTGAAATATAAATTTGGGCTTTTGAAAATATAATTTTAAAATAAATGTGCTAAGCTGCTAAGGCAATATTAAATTTACCAAGTGATAAATTTTGTTCATGTATTTTATATTAATTAAATATTTATTATTATATCTATTGTGTTTCTAATTAAATTAAAGTCAATTAAAAATCTCCAACATTTTAAAAGATAAAAAAATTAGACCAATATTGAATTAACTACTTAATTATCTATTATTAAAGTTATAATATATGGTAATTATTTTTAAAAAACTTGGTTACTATCAAATTTGTGCTTATTTCTAAAGATAGTTTGTAAAACAAGCGTAGGTTAATTCCCTTGTATATTTCTTTTTTTTTTTCTTTTTTTTTCAATGAAATCATTTTTACCTTTTCCAAGACTGCAGTACGTAATGCATTAGTTGGTTTTTTAGAAATTACACTTACATTTATAATTATTTACATATAACTGTGTATTTATATATTTTATATGTCTTGTACAGTTTCCTCTGTTCTCATTGTCGAGACTGCTGACCAGTAGCGTACGCAGGGGGGGGGAGCAGGGGGAGCGGCCGCTCCCCCTCTGGCCATTTTCAGCAAAGTGGCGCCTTTTTGAAACTTTTTAAACTCTAAGTTTTAAACAATGATATTTGTTAAAAAATATTTTTGGTCGGCACATTTATGTAAATCACAAGCTTTCTTTTCATGCAGCAATTAAGCATTTTTGTACTAGTCTAGTAGTGTCTACGTTTACAACACGTATTAACAGCTGCATCAGTTTGCCATTCTAAAAATAACCATTAGGATGCATTGCAATGTTTAAAAACCTTTACGGGTAGTACCACTTGGCAAGAGGGGTGTTAAGTTTAAGGCAACTGTATAATGTATTTTCTTACGAATAATTGAATTATAAAATGTTATACATTAAACTTCACACATAATTACTTTGTATATACAGTTTGAATCGTGTGATCAATTAAAAAAAATTACAATACAGAAACAAATACAACTGATGTGGCACCTCTATTTAAATTTACTTATGAGCAAACTGCGTAGTGGTGCGGAAATTTTGACAAGGTCAAAAACGTCATCACGATGAAGTAGCAGTATTCTTACAGTTTGGACGATAGTGATTACGATTATAAATTATATGAAACAGTTACAACCCCCCTCCCTATTTCTGTAATATGTATTTGTGTAATATATATTTGTGTAATATATATGTATGTTTAGAACAGTCATCTAAAAACTGACGCTATGTTCACTCTGAGTTGGTTATCTCCCCCCCCCCCACACCTCACCACCACAATTGTGTAGAGCGACATTAATGTCACACCTAGGTATACACTGGGTTGGATAATTGACCTAAAGTGACCGGACAGTGGTGAATGAAGTTGACCCCCGAAAACTGATCTGTTAAGTACATGTAGAAAAACGCGTAATGATGTACCAAAGTAACATGCCGCCAGAAAATTAGCTTTGTAAACGTAAAACTCTGTAAATATTGTTTTTGTAATTACCAGTAAAAAGGTGTGTGATCAATACAGTGATCTAATCCATACCTATCACCATGTTAAAAATGATCTTTAAAGAACAAAAAGAAGCAATAGTTAGTTAAAAATATATGATCTGAACTAAAAGACAAGTGTTTAGTTAAATGTAGGCTGATATTCCGACCGTTTATTACTACATCGAAAAGTGTGGTTTTTATACCAACTCTGATTTTAAAATCTTTCATTATGCTGTAATACTTTAGCATTTATGATGACAATATATTAAATTATGATTATAGACAAAAACATTTTGTAAACACGA